AATGCCGCTTTTAACATTATATCACGGCGTGTCAGCTTAATGTGGGAGAAAAGCCCGAAGTGATGCAGGTCTCAGACGTTTACCACTTCGAATTCCGCGAAACCCACGAGCACTGGTATGGTGCTGACAAAGCTAGAAACATAATCGGGGCGAACCTGGATTCGAACTCACAATTTCTGGCTTGTCCAAGGGACACAACTCTGCTCAGCGAATCGCGGCGCCTAAGACGACTGGGCCACCTGTGCCCCCTACAATTGTGATGAACTGGACATGACACCAACGTTTGCACGTGTCCGTAGTTCAGTCAGTGTCACTGTCTCACCACTTGGACAAAAATAAATTAAAATGGGACAAATACATTATTAGCACTTGTCAGTTGTGAAGAGTACAACATGAAGGATGCATGTGCTGTATAACCATCACTCTTGGTAACATGTGCCACAATTGCTTACAATATGATCATTTTCGAGGTGTTTCCACCCTTTTAAAAACCTTCTAAATAATCATATGTATTACTTCCGAACAGTTGTGTGTGTGTGTGTGTGTGTGTGCGTGCGTGCGTGCGTGCGTGCGTGCGTGCGTGCGTGCGTGCGTGTGTGTGTGTGTGTGTGTGTGTGTGTGTGTGTTTGTGTTGTGTGTTGTGGTTTTAATGACACGAGCATGTGTTAAGTGTTTGATTGTCGAGGTTTTGAATCCACGAATCACCCAAGTTATGATACTTGGTGTTGTGACCGTCATTTCAGGTGTCACTAAATTACTAAGTATCTACATGCTGTCAGTTTCATCATATAATTGACGTGTTAAATAGCGGTGTTAGTCCTTAGTCACTAGCATACACGCCACTTTCAATATCTTGGCTGCATTGTAACTTAAGCTGTGTGGGCCGATGTGGAGGAGGGTGATGATGATGATGAGGAGGGTGATGATGATTATGATGAAGAGGTGGAGGAGGAGGAAGAGGATGGTAATGATTATGAGGAGAAGGAAGAGGATGATGATGAAAAGGAGGAGGGTGATGATGATGATGATGATGATGACGACGAGGAGGAGGAGGACGAGTGTGATGATGATGATGATGTTGATGATGATGAGGAGGAGGAGGAAGAGGATGATGATGATGATGATGAGAAGGGTGATGATGATGAGAGGGTGATGATGACGAGGGGAAGGGTGATGATGATGATGAGGAGGAGGAAGAGGATGGTGATGATTGTGAGGAGGAGCAGGAAGAGAATGATGATGATGAGTGAGTGAGTGGGTGAGTGAGTTTGGTTTGTTGCTGCTTTTAACATTATATCACGGCGTGTCAGCTTAATGTGGGAGGAAAGCCCGAAGTGATGCAGGCCTCAGACGTTTACCACTTCGAATTCCGCGAAACCCACGAGCACGGGTATAGTGCTGACTAACCTAGAAACATAATCGGGGCGAACCGGGATTCGAATCAACAATCATAGGTTTCTGTCGTGCCCAAGGGGCACAACTCTGCACAGCGAATCGCGCCGCTTTAGACGACTGGGCCATCCATGCCCCCTTGATGATGATGATGAGGAGGAGTGTGAAGATAATGATGATGATGATGAGAAGGGTGATGATGATGATGATAATGAGGAGGAGGAGGAGGAGTGTGATGATGATGATGATGATGATGATGATGATGATGAGAAGGGTGATGATGATGATAACGAAGAGGAGGAGGAGGAGGAAGAGGATGATAATGATGAGGAGGGGAAGGAAGAGGAGGGTGATGATGATGATGATGATGATGATAAGGGTGATGATGATGATGATGAGGAGGAGGAGGAGGAGGAAGACGATGATAATGATGATGAGGAGGAAGAGGAAGAGGAGGGTGATGATGATGATGATAAGGTTTATGATGATGATGATAAGGGTGATGATGATGATGATGATGAGGAGGAGGAGGAGGAGGAGGAGGAGGAAGACGATGATAATGATGATGAGGAGGAGGAGGAAGAGGAGGGTGATGATGATGATGATAAGGTTTATGATGATGATGACAAGGAGGAGAAAGAGGATAATGATGATGATGAGGAGAAGGAGGAGGAGAAGGAGGAGGAGAGGATGATGATGACAATTAGGAGGGCGATGATGATGATGATGTTGACGACGACGAGGTGAATGGAGGAAATAATGATGATGAGAAGAAGGAGGAGGAGAGGATAATGATCATGATGATGATGATGATGACGAGGAGGAGGAAGAGGATGATGTTGAGGAGGAGGGGGAGAGGATGATGATGACGATGAGGAGGGTGATGATGAAGAGAATGGGGAAATGATGAGAAGGAGGAGGAGAAGGGTGATGATGATGAGGAGGAGGAGGGGTGATGATGACGAGGAGGAGGAGGAAGAGGAGAGAGATGATAATAAGGGTCATGATTATGATGATGACAAGGAGGAGAATGAGGATGATGATGATGAGGAGGAGGAGGAGGAGAAGGAGGAGGAGAGGATGATGATGACGATGAGGAGGGTGGTGATGATGATGATGATGATGATGATGATGATGACGACGACGAGGATAATGGGGGAAATTATGATGATGTAGGGGGAGGTGGAGGAGAGGATGATGAGGAGGAGGAGGAGGAGAGGAACATCATGCTGATGAGGAGATTGATAAAGATGATGATGTGAATGATGATGACGACGACGACGACGAAGACGACGACGAAAATGGGGAAATGATGATGATGAGAAGGAGGAGGAGAAAGAGGATGGTGATGATAAGTGAGTGAGTGGGTGGGTGAGTTGGGTTTAATCCCGCTTTTAACAATATATCACGGCATGTCAGCTTAATGTGGGAGGAAAGCCCGAAAAGATGCAGGTCTCAGACTTTACCACTTCGGTGAAACCCACGAGCACGGGTATGGTCCAGACAAACCTTGAAACATAATCGGGCTGAACCGGAATTCGAACCCACAATCATAGGTTTCTGGCATGCCCTAGGGACGCAACTCTGCACAGCAAATCGCGGCCCTTAAGACGACTGGGCCACCCGTGCCCCCTTGATGATGATGAGGAGGAGGAGAAGTGTGATGATGATGATGAGAAGGGTGATGATGATGATGGGGAGGAGGAGTGTGGTGATGATGATGATGATGATGAGAAGGGTGATGATGATGAGGAGGAGGAGGTAGACGATGATAATGATGCTGAGGAGGAGGAGGAGGAGAGGATGATGATGAAGTTGAGGAGGGTGAGGCTGATGATGATGATGACGATGAGGAGAATGGGGGGAATGATGATGATGATGTGAAGGAGGAGGAGGTAGGAAGAGGATGATGATGAGGAGGAGGAGGAGAGGATGATGACCATTCCGTATTTCCGCTGTCGTTGTTTCCTCCCTTGGCGCTGGCCTCGCCACACAAGTACTCAATGCAATACAACATAGAATCACAACATAGTCGACGGTGTTACAGATCACTCTGACAGCAACGGCGTCAGGAGTTGCAAATGGCGTCAGACAGACGAATAAGTATATTATACATTGAGAGCCTCTAAAGCAAAGCAATTCAATTGATACAGCTGCACAGATGGCTGGATACCGTGGACATACTGATCAGTGTCCTGAACACCTGGTCATTGTTAGTGCTCAAACATTTTTTAGAGTTTGGCTATGCTTTTGTCGCCCCATTTCGAGCGGATTATTTGCATGATGGTCCACGAGCGTGACTGCCACTTGGCGTTTTGATATGCATGGTAGTAGTAAAGGAACAAAATTGGTCCATATCTGATATAAAGCGCATGATATGTGTGCCTAAGCATTGAGAGCCCCAGCACATTCATAACTATTTTTGCATGAATCGTTACATGTCTCGACAACGCTGAGTGGCAGGAAGGAAACATTCTAGCTTACAAGTCTTATTTATAGTAAGATCGTGATATAGGCGTTTGTATCACACCAGGAAGTAAAACGTTGACAGTATTGGTTGATACAACAGGCATTGACAAAATTCATTGGAGGCTACGTGAAACCTCAGTTTGTATTTGCCAAGGATAGTTGCCTGAATGGAAACCCAGGGCCCACTTTCACAGAACAATCTTAGTTACAATCGATCTTAGGCGGCTACCGTTGACTTTATAATCACCATACAATTGTCCTATTTCACTTGCACAAACCGATCTAAGCTAAGATTGAAATCTTCAACGGTGGATGTACGAATAACTTAAACTCGACTCCTGTCTACAGTTGTCTGCAAACGGGCATAACATGCTGTGCATACAATAAGTGGAACCGGTAACGACACACAACACGTACAGTTTCAAGAAAGGTCCCAATTATTTAAAGGAAACAATTACTAGAATGATGGCACATATTCTTGTCGGCATTAATACTGTCGTGATGTAGGAATTGTTTCCTATTGGAACTTGAGAATTATCTACTCGTGTTTTTAATTAAAAGTATTGAAATACGAATAAATACATTATTCACTGACACAATTGTTATGAAATAAAAATAAATAATAACGAAAATATTTCCTAATAACATAACACGTTAATGCATGATCGTCATCTGTTTGGGGGAGCTTTTCGTAAAACCCCTAAATATGTCCTTCATCTTTTAGGTTCGTTGCAATAACAGGGAATCTTATGAATACTTTAGTGTTGCTATATATATATATATATATTTTGCAACAAAATTCCACACCCCCTACATCCCCACCCACACAACCACTCTCAGCCCTACCAGATATCGGTCCCTTATTCACTTTGTGCAAATTAATATGGTTCACAGCTGTCTTAAGTGTATCATCGCCATTTAACGACAAGGCATGCATCTGTTTATCTCCTAAATTTTAAAAGTGCACGAGTTGAACTTTAACGTTATGTAATGAGTTACCTTTTTTTAAAATCGTGACAGATTTAGTTGACGAACGCCAAACATGATGTTTCACAAGCCAATCCTTGAAGCTGAAGGACAGAGAATCAGATGATGAGTCATGTGCTGCACACGAATATAACTGCAACGTAGATACCGAAACAGGCACACACGAACCCGATCATGACATGAAAGCATGAAAGTTGCTGAATACTCGTGTCAAAATTTCGTTATCTGTTGTCACGGCTTGGCAACACCTGGTCTCTTCCAACACCACAGCTGACCTCTTCACGTTGAGTAGTATTTAGCTTTGAAACAGTGATAAGCGACATTATGCTTCTACATGGAGTGACAGTCAGAATGTTTCGAGATGTAACCATATTGTGGTTGTTAGGGTTGGCTTGGATACAACCGTTCACTGTGTCCATGCACACAGAACATATCACGGTAAAAGTCGACCACGTCCTACAGGAAATTGATGATATGTTTGTTGGTATCACCATGGAAAGCGGTCAACTGAAATCCAACCTGACGACCCCAAATATCAGGTATACATCATAACATTTGTATAACTATGTGATTTGTTTGCAACGAAAATTGTTTATTTCGGATTAGTGAAAAAAATCCTTGTCAGGAAACGAATAGACCAAATATATGTATTTTCAGAGTCAGCAGATTTTGGTTGGTTGGTTTGTTGTTCAACGCCGCACTCAGTAATATTCCAGCTATATGACGGCAGTCTGTAAAAAATCGAGTCTGGACCAGACAATCCAGTGATTAATATCATGAGCATCGATCAACGCAATTGGGATTGATGACATGCTTCACCCAAGTCGGCGAGCCTTACCACCCGTTCCCGTTAGCCGCCTTTTACGACAAGCATAGTCACGTTTTAAGGCAAGCATGAGTTGTTGAAGACCTATTCTACACCGGAAACTTCACGGGTCCAGAGTCAGCAGAATCTGTCAACAAATTTTTCGTGAATTCAGTTTTGTCACTGATTTATGTTGTGTCTAGCTTATCCTTGAAAACCGAATGACAGAAATCAATTCCAATTATCACCTTCACTGAAGACTTCGCTTACTTACAGTCTGTCGTCTCTTAACCGTGTCAGAAACATATGATTGTGGTCTCGGTACCCAGATTCGCCCAGATAATGTTGCTGGGTTTCTTAGGATCATATCCATGGTCGCTGATTTCACCAAAGTGGTCAACTTTTAAAAAATGCATGACCTCGGGCTTTCCTCGCACATCAAGCTGACAGGCCGTATTACCACCTGAATGCTCTTTAAAGTGGCGTTAAGCGTGACTCCTTCACCACAGCCGAATACGTCATGGGCATTATCAAGGGAATTATGATATTATATACTGGAGAATGCACCTTCAGCTTCTAGTTTCATATCCAAGATGTTACGGATAGTATTGTCTGCTAGATGAATAAAGTTTGTTGAAGATGGTTATAGCAGTCTCATATATAAATGTAAGTTTATATAAAAGAACCTTTTATAACAGGTCGCCCAAACTGTTTACTCTTGGAAAAGCCTTAGCGCCAGGGTATATGCGAGTTGGAGGAACATCAGGGGATCGCATGGTCTTTGACCCGAATCGCAACCTAGACACTCCGCAGCAGTATCATCTCCAAGGTGATAGCAGTATATTATACGATTCTTATATCTCCCTTGGTGTATTTGTCACAAGAAGGAAAACCTAATTAAAAAGACCTGGCTAAACAATACAAAACATTCCATGTCTAAAAATAATGTATTATTTTGGAATAACCTTTTTGGTATGATCACTGTTTCTGTTCTACTGATTGCCCAAGAAGAGTTCTTTGGGTAGTCCCGGTTATATCGTACCTGTGGGGGTAAATGATTTGGTTATTTGTTTCATGGTACAGTTATACATTATTCACTCAGGCCCCTTAAATCTCGTAACCCCATCTGCCAGGCATTACTACTGACGCTCACATGTGTTTAAAGAACCTTACTTCTTTCTGAGATTCATTAGTCCCAGATATTTCATAATCCGGGCGATAAACGGGGAAAGGTACCTGGATACACGGGTTGCCACTGAGTCTTCTGAGCCAGCGACCGACGGATTTCTTTATTTACAAACTCTCGTCCATAAGTAGCTATTCAATATGTTTATACCTTTGTGGTTTGAGAAAGTACTAAACATATAATAACTGAACCAAAACCGATCAATTGAAACATATTTTCAGCTAACAACTGGGATGCATTCAACGAGTTTATTCACAATACGGGGCTGAAACTGGTGATTAGCCTCAACCTGCTGCTGCGTGATGGAACAAAGTGGAACCCATCAGATGCTAAGCAGTTGCTAAAATATTCCTCTGACAAAGGGTATCCTCTTGCAGGGATTGAACTGGGAAATGGTAAGTTTAAAAGCATACAGATGTAGCATTAACCTGACATAGATGACATATCTTTGGGCATTCTGAGTAGAAGACGTCCAAACAATCTGCACTTATGTGTGTTTATGACGCGATCTATTGTCATGCTGGACAATTTGGATCAATGCGTGTCTTGACACCCTACCTCCATGGGATGTGGCTCATAACATCAATTATTACCTACAGGAATATAAATAACCGAGTTAATAAAAATCGTATGTGCACTAGTTCAAATATCACTTCTCGCACACCAGTGTATTGTTTCCGTCATCCAAAAGGCATTGTTGACGTCATTCGAATCTCAATTTGACGTAAGGTGGAAATAACGTCACACAAGAAATGACAACATAGCCGAAAATGGCTGACACATGTTGGTCTCCTAGAACAGCAGTGGTGATCAGTGCATGTGTCTAAAGATGGCCCAAAAGGATAAAGAAATAGTGGGTAATAAATTTAAATTATTACACTCATATGTGTCATACTGACTTTACGAAACTCGTGTAAGAATTCATGTATTATCCTCGCTCTTGCTCGGAAATTCGTGATTCGAATTCGTGAAATCAGTATGACGTAAATGTTCGTATAATAATCTCTATTTATTAGTTTCCATAATCCAGATGTCATTGTATCCAGCCCACGGTCACATAACAAATAAAACATATAAATATTGCATTATATGTTTCGTACGTTGACCGTCACTGGACTCATTATGTTTTTATTCATATGTGAAACATTTACCCAACTTGATACTCATGTGTATGTAGATATTTTTTTTTTTGTTACCATGCTTGACATATGTATTATGATTTTTACGTATGTTTCATGAAGAACCGAACTTGTATAACCGACGTAATGCTACAATCAGTGAGGCTCAGCTGGGTCGCGACTTCATGGAACTAAAGCAAGTTCTGCAAGGAACGGACTATAAATCCAGTCTCATCATTGGACCTGATACCGCCGGTTATAAAGACACGTTCATAAAAAAGTATGCATAATAAACATTGTTTACCCTATGCAGCAGGGAAAGAATAAGCTGTCTGGATTTTCTGATTGAAATTGAACCGAATCTCTGCTTAATTTGTGTTGCTGTTATTATTTCAAAATATTAAAGGAAGCATCAATTTCAGAACCTAAAAGGGGCATGGGTGGCCCAGTCGCCTAAGACGCCACGATATTGTGTACAGTGTGGCTTCATGTAAATTATGATGTTCAAATCCCGGCTTCCTGTATAATTATGATGTTAAAATCCCATGTTCGCCTTGATTATCTTTCAAGTTCTGAAAGCACCATACCTTTTTCTCGAAGGACTCACCGGAGTCACTTCAGTCCAAGAAGCTGACATGGTAATGCACAAGTGATGCCCTGGTTGATTATAGTTATCTTCGATGAACATTTGTCCAATGTGACCGTTGCATTTCCAGCTTCCTGTCCCACGGTGGAGCTAGTGTTATAAACGTCTTGACCTTCCATCAGTGAGTACCTTCCTTCAAGGCATGGGCTACCATACAGTTTTAATGCTACGTGTAACACTTAAGGGTCGTTGATTACAGTCTAAAAAGTCTTCAAAAACACCGACACGTTGAAATATTAGGTAGAAGTAGCACAGTAGTGGCCATAGCACAGTAGTGGCCATAGGACAGTAGTGACTGTACACCGTGTGGGGGTATATGCAGAATTAGATTTAATAGATAACTGTTCACTGTGTTGAGCTTCGAGGTCAACCATTTGTCCTTGACCATTGTCAGAAAGTACTGCAAATACTATTTTGACCTCAAATTTCCGAGCAAAATTCTGTAAATACTTTTTGGGGCTCTGTTTTAAAATAAAAGCAACACATCCCTTTTTCTAATCATAAGAAATCTCTGCTAAATGCAGAGTCCGTTTCATATACGATTGCTACTATATCAAAAACATGTGTTTAGAAATCACTGTCAGACAGTAATGTGAGCATATCCTGCCCCATGGGTGGCATCCGTCACAACCACATGCAGAGGCAAATCAATGTTCATGTTCTTTAGCATATGGTACAACTCAATACAAGTGATTGTATCAGCCATTATTTTGGTCACTATCCATCTAATTTGAATTCCACATGTTTGCCATAAACCTTTACGATTTTTTTACTGAAGCCTTTAATATGTAACCCTTATTAAATTCTTTGAAATCTTCGAAGTATGAGCATGCCTAGATGTACATCAGATGTTGTGTAATGTAGACAGCAAATGGCATCAAACATTTGTTGTATGGAAAACAAATCTTTGAAATCTTCGTAGAAAGTTGCTGCATGACTGTATATCTAAAGATTTGAATGCTTTAATATTGCTCGAAGGTAATGGGTAAGTTGGCCATAAGTGATGGACAACATATCATCGATGTACAAGAAGCATAGGTTTTAACTTCTTGGCTAAACTGCCTATGTTGTGATGTTGATGATCTGAATAAAGTAACAGGTCAGCATAGAAAAGAACGCAGTTGATATACATGCGGTTGCCTACTTTTTCACATAGATGCTATCTATGCTATCCAGCATGTCAAATATTGTTTCTTCCGTAAATTCTAGATGACACGTGCTTTAACTTGTGACAAATTGTCTTGAACCGTTGAAGGTAGAGATGTATATATAACTACATATATGGTCACCACATTTAGAGACAAAATGCCCATGGGTCAAGAAATGATTTTTTCTTTGCGTTTGTCGTTTCCCACTCCACATTAATTACTATCATTTCATTGGAAATAATATCAAATATGCGGACCAAATACAGAAACGAACACATTGTATAGCTGGATGTCATCCTTTTTTGTACACGTGGTTAAAGAAATTCCCTGTACAAATAGCTTACTCTTTTCAGATATTACTTTAATGGACGCACCGCCAAGCTGGAAGACTTTTCTAAGTATTCTATTATGAATCGCCTTACATCTACCCTGCACTCAGTGATGAATACGGTCCGAAGTCATCATGGCCTAGTGGCGTGGCTAGGGGAGACATCGTCAGGTTATGGGGGTGGCACTCCTGGCATTGCTGACAGATATGTGGCAGGCAACCTGTGAGATTTTCTACGTTTCAGTGTCCAAATGAATTTGTTCTAAAGTTGAAAGTGTTCTGAATAAGTTTCTTTAATTTAAATACAACATAACAATTTCAGCCAGAGCATCTTCTTGGAATGCTAGCATGCGTTGATGTAAATGCAAGTTGCTTCTTCGTGCTGGTTAGAGGGTGCTGATTGCTGTTTATGGTGAATTGAAATTGGTTATAACAAGAAAGAATTGTAATTCCTTTCGCTCTCAAAATGTCTAATGTTGAAGCTCGTTTGTTCTTTAATATGATCTTGAGATCAATGGGACCAGTGCAAAATATTCACGTTGATTTGCCTTGAAACAAGTTGAGCATTGAGAACGGCTCATATAATTAATTAATAACACTTGTCATATCACAATTTCAGGTGGCTTGATAAACTTGGTGTATCAGCAAAATATGGTCTAAAAGGGGTTATGCGCCAGGCATTCTTTGGTGGAAATTATGCACTTCTTGACGACAACTATGACCCTAATCCTGTGCGTGAACGTCAGTTATCTCAATTTTTATCAATGTAATTTTGCCTTATGTCTGTTTGATCTTAGATATTGTCTCTGTGTTCATGCATATATTCATTGCCTGTTGTCTGTTTTCAAATGTGACCCAATCGACGGAGGCCCAGCATTTTGCTGTACAGAAAATTGTGTCTCTTAGGCTTACCAGAAACCACTGATCCTCGATTCGAATCCTGGGTTCACGCTGATTACGTTACTAGATTTGCCCGTGCTTATGTGTTTCACCAAAGTTGACCTGCACCATTTTATATTTTCTCCCAAATCAAAATTTATGACATATCGTATGTGTACGTAGCGTTAAACTGAACTCATTCATTCATGTATTTTCCTGTATGGGAATTCCAAGTCATTATAAATCACCTGTTCCGCCTGCATTGCATAGTAGGTGCCCAGGCTCAGTAACTTGTCTTGTACAAATTCCTATTCCGACTATCGTACCATCAACCATCAGTTTGCACATCCAGACACATTTTACTGCTTACACTGGCACAAAATAACATGAACACCAACAGTGTCTTTCTCATATGGACACACATCACAACGTCTTTTGGCAGGACTACTGGTTGACGCTTCTTTACAAGAGACTTGTTGGCAACAAAATATTTGATGTTCCGTCTTCATCTAACAACCTCCGACTGTATGCCCACTGTACAAAGCTGAACAAGTGAGTGGTTTCAGCATGTTTAATTCACAACCGGTCTGTACACACATAAGTTGTCCACCTTGCAGATTATGGACAAATACAAAATGTAGACCTCGGATAGAGGTGGGAGTGGAACATACCGTCCCCTTTAAAAGACATCACATGAGAAACAACCAGAATTAATACTAAGTCAATGTAACCACAACAGTTTTATTTAAACAAAACCCACACGTTTAAAACTTTAATGTGCAGAATATTGTCAGCAAGTCACTGAACAGTAATGCTGTCAGTAGAGATTCACATGACGTAACGATTTGAATGCACATTTATCCATTGACTTATGTAATGGCTATTTTGTTTCAAGTTCACAAGTAACAATTATGTATATTGGTGTAATAGTTTGTTTCTGGACAATCCTGTTCGCGCAAGGTAATCTCAATATGGTAACGGTGAGTGTGAACAGAGCAAATGCAACGTGACGACATGTGACGTTAGATCAACCATTACCAACCATGGAAACGTCTGGTTAAAGCGTTCGCTCGTCACGCCAAAGACCCGGGTTCGATTACCCATATGGCTCAAATATTTCATATTTCTGCTATCCACCACCGTCCTATTGATGGAATATTGCTAAAAGAGGTGTAAACTCATACTCACTCACTCGCTTCTTCAATGACAAGCATGTTTTTAATGAAAGACGGCGACTGGTCGTGTCAAATCAATTGGCGAGATTTCGAAAGATTTTTCTCTTGCATTCACTTTTAATATTATCACATCATCTGTTTATGTTCCAGCGTGTACCACTACAAGCCTGGCAGTATCACAGTGTATGGTCTCAACTTGCATGGAGACCACGTAACCCTAGCCATATCAGAGGCGCACGGCAAAAACGTGGACATATTCTGGATGACTCCTGAGGGAGGAGACTTGAAGTCAAAGTTTGTATATAATATGTTTACTCTCAACCATTCAGTACAAGGATGTTGTCAAGTTTCACAAGGTCATGGGTCAGTTCTCATATAACTGGTTCCTTAGCATAGTTGTCAAATGCTTCGAATATTAGTGAGACATATGTTGTCTCTGAAGTAGCAGATATAACAGAAGATAGTGAGCATTTGATTGTTTGCTGCATTCAATCTGAACCAGACAAACGAACGGTGTATATAACATGAGTAATGGTCCGAAATGTAGGGTGAAAAACGCACCTTGGCAGACTATATTAAGTAACTAAAGACGAACTTGAACCTACAAACTTGTACACATATACTATAGTGGCAGTAAAGGTGAGACAACGGTTGTTAGGTCAACGGGTCATCAATACTTTACCTGCATACCAAAATAACCTTTGCCACATCTTTTTTTCAGAAAAGTAGAGGTCAATGGCAAAACATTGGAACTTGTCAACAACCAAATACCACACATTATGCCAAAAGCTTTGGGAACTGGGACGATTGTAGTGCCTCCACACTCCTTTGGGTTCATTGTCATTCCCGACGCCAACATAGCGGCATGCAACTCACAAAGCCATGGTCCCATTATCGGATAATTGAACAAGCGTCCTGTTAAGATAAAAAGCAGTAATAAATTGTTCACCAAATCGTTATGTTTGTGGCTTTTAAATTGATGGTGAGTGCACCTGGACCTTCTGTTGGACGTGCGTTGACATACAATAGACATCTGAAAAAAACCCACTCTGAACACATTTAACTGATATTTAGACGTACAGAGTGTTATCAAAATGGTTTGCTTGTAACAAATAACCAAGAGGAATATGTTAAGACGTTCTGATAAGAGTTATCCCACATCTTCAGAATGCCATTCGACAGAAAACACACAAGGGTGATACACTTAACCCAGTATCGGATAACTGACGAACGAACTGACATACCAAGAATCATCGGGGCGTAAGTAGGATTCTATCACACATGTACAATAGGCGAATCTTGGTGCACCTGCTGTACACATCGAACTTAGAACAACACGTTCCCACAATGAGGAATTAGAATATCAGTCAGTGCTACAATTCCAATTACATCATGTATATATGAAGCACTATGAAATGATGACATTAAGTGATTATCCCAGGTGTTCGCATAAAAGTGAGCGTGTCCTGCCCCTCAAGTGACAAGCACGTGTGAAGGCAAGTGTTGTGTGTAAATAAAAAAGACAAAATAATTTCCATATTTATTAGAAATAGTTGCCGACTATATCATGAACATATATTTATGAATCACTATCAAATAATGATTATACCAAATGTTCACGAAACGGTCAGCGTATCCTGACCAACATGTCACAAACACGTGTAACGGCAAGTAAATTGTTTGCCAGAAAAACATAGGAACATATGATACAAGTCAAAAAGGGTAATTGCGTCATGCCTCTCATTTGGAAATATCCAAATGTCTTACCCCCAAACTTAACATAGACGTTTTCAATGAGGAACTTCAATATTTCACATATTGTTTTGTCAGTAAATGTCACATGACATTTGCTTTCACTTTTTCAATTATCGTCCTGTGGTCATCATGTTTAGTGACAAATGACAGTTTGTCGTCTATAATAGTTGTGTTCAAAGTTGACAATTGAAATGTATTGACATAATTGAACTTGGTTTTATTCTGATATTGCGAAACATCAAACAATTCCGTTGAGGTTTTTATAATTCACATGGCAATAATTCCACTGTCTCAATAAGTATCGTTATTGGCGGTGGAAACTATTATACATATATCTGTAATGATTATCAAATGATGAGTAAATGATTGAACTACTAGTTAAAGATATCAAGTCCTGACTGAACAGCAAGGAGAGTTTTCCAGATCGTTGAAATATGTGTACAGTGTACACCACTCCAGGCCTTGCATTCGTACAGCAGCCCATCGGAATATCTCCCACTCAGGCTGGCTACCCCAGACCCGTGAAGATTCCGGGGTAGAATAGATCTTCAGCAACCCATGCTTGCCGTAAAAGGTGACTATGCTTGTCGTAAAAGACGACTAATGGGATCGTGTGGTCAGGCTCGCTGACTTGGTTGATGCCTGTCATCGATCCCAATTGCGTGGATCGATGCTCATGATATCAATCACTGGACTGTCTGGTCCAGACTCGATTATTTACAGACCGCCGTCATTTGGCTGGAATATTGCTGAGTGCGGCGTTAAACAACAAACCAACCAACCAACTTTTGCATTATAATATTGGGAGGAGGATGAATATGCGATATTAAAGCTGTTACATTAATGACTCTCTTACTCCACTTCCTCTACCATCACGTCCCATCACCAGTAAAGGCCTACACAGGTAAAACCACTTCTTTAAACATAAAACGCGTTGTTTACAATTACTCACGATGGCATCAAAGGTTATCGTGTCAATATTAATTTTAATCACGGGATTTTATCGTTCCTGTGTTTGACGCTTTTCATTTGCACCAAGATAGGATTCCAATTTAAGGAACTGTTAAGTATGCAGGAGAAACCGCAGGTCTCTTAACCTCAGGTGATTTCTTTTTATATAAATTGGTTTACAGATCCGCCTACCCTAGATTTTGCAAAAGTAGAAAAAAATAAATGCATAACAAGCCACCTGTTTTATTATCGCCATGTCAAATATCAAAGTATCTGCCCCAAATGAAAAAAACCCAACTCAAGCAGATTGAGTTCATAGATGATCTAAACCGGTTTCCGCAAGCAACGCCATAATAATCGATTCAAAACATCGCTATTGACTTTATACAATTCCTTAAATTTGCGGCTGGACTCCTTCTTTTATGCTGTAATAATACAATTGAGTGGGAGACTGATATTTCAAGATTTCTCAAGGAGACAGTACATGCATTTGCAAATAAACTGTAACAAATAAATTGATTTAAAGTTTTACAAATGTCAGTTAGCCTTTCATCATGATTCTTCGAGCATATGTTTATCAAACATTGTATCATCGCTTAGGTTTCTTGTTCAGCCAGAGTTTAAAGAAGCAGAAAACATTGACAGTATAGAACGTTCTGGTTGGTAAAAGAAATCGTCCGAACAGAAATTTGATCCTTCTGGGGGCAGATACACCACTCCTAAATACACATCACTGTCAATTCCAAACATGGATCTTAATAATTTAAACCACATACAGAAATCATTTACCTCTTCAACTTGAGTGATGTATTTATAATAATGATCCTATCCCCTAAGGCCAATACCTCCTGATCTTCTTCCTTCCGCTGTTCTATATTGCAAAAACAGCTTTTGCCTTCAATTTGCATATGATCCTATATGTATAGGATCATATGCAAATTATCGTTTCTTGAAAGCCTATTATATCATGAGTGTGAATAAGATTTCCAAATTCGGGGAATTCAAGCCGTCTTCTGAGACCACATACACTACGACTTGCGAGACGAACAACATCAAGTCCATAACCACCGTCAGTTATACTGTCAGTGATTAAATTGGTGAGGTGAGGTGAAATGGGGTAAAACGTCGCGTCCAATATTTTTGTACCTAAATAGCGTGTGTGTGTGTGTGTGTGTGTGTGTGTGTGTGTGTGTGTGTGTGTGTGTGTGTGTGTGTGTGTGTATTTGTGTGTGTGTGTGTGTGTGTGTGTGTATTTGTGTGTGTGTGTGTGTGCGTGTGCGTGTGTGTGTGTGTGTGTGTGTGTGTGTGTGTGGCTGCTTGTACTAGTCCGGACTAATGCCGATTTAAAATGCTAGCTCACTGAGATACCATGCTCCAGTTTAACATGAATACCTCACTCAGACACAGAATACTGACTCCGAGCCGACCAGTCCTTGTTTTAGTTCCTCTATGCCGTGCGCCAGACAGGGTAACAACAAGTACCATCGTTTAACGTCTTTTGACATGACGCGGCCGGGGATTGAAACCCGGACCTTCCGCTCTACCACTACCGCTCTACCACTAGACCACGGGGGGGCGGTCAATTAAGTTAGTACTATCATCACTGATACTACGGTGACTTCTTTGAAAATCAACATTGCATGCCGGAAGGTATTGCACGGATCAGTACTGGCACCATCGTGATTTGGCTTGTCACGCACAGAGTCCAGATCTGTAATGACGAGGACATTGTTGTCCAAATTTTGGTCACTATTTACATGTACATAATTCACATCATCAGTAGTGTTTATAATATTCTGAGTATTGGTAATACAATGCTCATGACCTACATCAACGAGGTTTGATGGATTAACATTACCCTACCTGACAAGAATAACAAGTGGTCAGTGAAACATTCAGTGACACTAATGTCGTGATTTGATTCTCAACAACAAATTGTGCTGCTGGAAGCTACTTTGCTTTGTGAGGGTAAGTTTATCTCTGTAGATTTAACAACAGACTTAAAATTGTCAGTTAAACGTGATCCACGTGATGGCAAATTGTAAGAGAGTTTTCTTTGGTTTGTGTGAGAGAAGAATGTATAGCAACTCTACTTCCCACCGCATGCGGGAAACACACAATACTGAGTTACTGTCGTTATCTAAGAGTCAACTTTGGGCATGTACTCACAGTACTTGAAGATTATGACTGTCTGTGATTCTTTGGTGTGTCAAGTTTGGCCCTATAACATGGGGAATTCTCTCAACGATCCAGTCCTGGGATAGTGTGTGGCAGGCCTTGCTACTCCGACCACCCGCGTGTTCCTTTGAGAGCATCAATCTGCTGTCTTCCGGTCGTCTGTTCTGGGCCACTATGTAGGGTGGCGGTGAATGGCCAGTATGCAATGCATTCTTAATATACAATTTATCATCTGACATTGAAGCTCTCTGACCTTTGTTCCTCACATCTCCGAGTAGAGGCATTAGAGTATCCTTCGGTATTGTCGGATTTCCTCCGGCAATTGTTCTATGATTTGGAATTTTTCCTTTTATTTCCTTCCCCTGGTACTGTACAAAACCCCTCTCCGTCATGTAGATTAACTTAGCTATGACAGATCTCCTGACAGGCCTGACGATCTATGAGCACCTTTCTATGTACTCATTTAAAGTTAAACATAGTGAAACCATTTTGAGGTGAGGTGAAATTGGGTTTAATGTCGCATCCTAGATTATTGCACTTATATAGCGACGTGCATGTGCGTGTGTGTGTTTGTGTGGCTGCTTGTACTAGTCCGGACTGATGCGGATTTATAGTGCTAGCTCACTAAGATACCATGCCGCAGTTTAACATGAATACCCCACTCAGACTCAGTATACTGACTCCGAGCCGACCAGTCCTTGTTTTAGCCCCTCAATGCCGAGCGCAAGACAGGGTAACAACAAGTACCATCTTTCAACGTATTTTGGTATGACGCGGTCAGAATTCGATTGTTTACGGGCTGCTGTCGTATGGCAGGAGTTCCAGGTCAGGCAAATTACTTTAATGGCTTGTTTTACCTGTGGAGCAGGGCATTCTTATCCTTTTCGGGAACACCCGCTGTTATCAATCAATTTAGATAATGTTCACCGCTAATATATGACCTTGCACGCTCTATGAACTGAAGTAGCTAAGTTTCAGCTTAAGCTCAAAAGCATTTAGCAATTATGCTGAGTCAGCACCAGTTTGAAACTGCTCGAGCCAGGCCTCTCAATTCTCGTTGTCTGGCGTTGACGTCTTATGCACACACAAGTATAGCACTTTGGTGCAGATTGTATGCAGGATATTTTTTGACGTATGGAACGATTTTGACCAGTCACCGTAGGGACTTCCCGCGCTACATGTATTTCGATTGTGAAAACGTTATGTTGACATTTAATCGTCAAACTTCCTCAAATATGACTTTTAGCGGGTCATGGTACGGCATTTATGATATGTGTATCAATTCTCTTGCAACTAAATTTCATTTCAATGCGTCAATAGCGGTAATCTGACCGTGGTTGCTGTTAATAACGGTGAGTTCTGCGATCTACCGATCACTTCGTATACGATTTCGCCAAAATAATTTTAACATTATTATAATTATTGAATGAAATTTTGAATATAATTAAAAAAATATTTATTGCAAACATTAGTCCAGATAATGTCCAATGAACATTTTTTTAATATCACCAGATATTGTAATAATAGGATTAAATTTCGTATTTCAGTTTGGATTTGTTGACTGGCATTTCCGGTATTACGTGATCGCGGTGATAATGTTTTCTGAGATGGGGGAAAACATCGTGTCATTGGAATACTTGAGTTTATTGAAAATGTTAGTAAATTTTGGGAGCCATGCTTTACCGCGCGCTATAACCGAGTTAGCGCTATATTGAAGGGCGCAATAACGAGGGAACACTGTACTCTCTACCCGACCGTAACTCGTGTTTTTTTAGTACTTGTGACACAGTGTGACGTGCAACGAGTGAGAGCGAAACTTTTCAAAGTGTACACTTCATGTTGAGTTATGAAATAGCCGTACGCGAATAAAGTATAAGATTGAAAAAGACCAATGCTTGGGCAGACACAGTGACAGATTGTCTTGCTTTAGGGGCGCCTACTTTTTGTTTGCTTACATAGTAGCTAACCTACACACTCTCAGTATCTATCGATGGGAATAAAGAACTAAGATTTATTAAAATTAAGTTTGGGCACATACAGCGTCTTCATTTGTCTAAAGTCTGTCATAAATAAGCATATTGTGTTTTCACTCCAGACCTGGGTTACTTGTAGATTTAACCGAGCTAAAGGGTATCGTAACGTCTCGTATGACGTCTACCAGTTGTCCAAAAATATTCGCTTGCATTACCAGTCTCCTCTAATGCTTAATCCGTAGTGAGCGTCTACTGCTGCTACAACTTCTAGAACTACCAATATTACTGTATATGTATGACAAGGTAGACACAATTTTATGGATGACAACTTCTTTAAAACTGTAAAAAGCGACGTTTCGGTATAGATCCTTATACCGTTGTCAAGCAAGACTGAATGAGGGACATTGTACAGAATATATATAGTCGGTGGAGGATTAACAGTAACAACAATAGTTGCATACATGAGTGGGATAACATGAGTAAGTGTTGACAACAGAAGGACAATACTGTCCCATCATGATGGTCAGAGAACACTTAGGTGGAAGCCAATAAAACAGGGTAAGTGATTATTGTTTGATGAGTTCATAGAAGGCGGATGGGATGATATACAATGTAGCCTTGATCTCTGTTGATTGATGGCTTGTGGCGGCGAATGTGGACTGCTTCTGTTAGTTTTCTTTTGTTGAAATCATTGAGGTTGTTGGAGAGGATTTGGAGTTGTCCCAGTTGATGTTGTGATTAGGACAGTTGGTGAAATGTCTGATTTGATGGCTGATGAACGTTTCACCTACGTAAGTAATACCTATAAAACAATTTGTCACGTCATGCACAACACGATAAAGGACAGCCAGTTATATTCAGAATGTTACCGGTCATGTTTAAAATTAACCCTAAAGGAAAAAGACGTTCGGACATGTTGATCTCACACAAGGTACAGTAAGGGGTACGGTCATGTGAGATATACGGCTATGGCGTTTGGATTGTTTGGTGTTGTTATTAATTAAAACAGTTTCATCGCCTGCAGAATCAACAATGAGGGCAGTTTCATCAGCATACAGAGGGGGTAAGAAACAGACACATAAATGTACATGCACATCGTTCACATCGCTAATTTTAACACTCGTTCATCCGTCTTTCATAAGGCATTTTTTCAAGATTATTGATAAAGAGACAAAATAGACAAGGTGATAGATTGTCCCCTTGCCGTACGCCTCAATAACACGGGAAATAATCTCATTCAACACCATTCAATGACACATGATTTTATATTTGCAAGAATAGTTTGAACTAACCGTAAGAATGTACCCTTATGATAGCATTTTAGTACTTCATGCCATAACTGAACTCTCCTCACCTAAAAAACATTCAAGACCCGTGAAGATTCCGGGTTAGAATAGGTCTTCAGCAACCCATGATGTGCCGTAAAAAGGCGACTATGCTTGTCGTAAAAGGCGACTAACGGGATCGGGTGGTCAGCCTCGCTTACTTGGTTGATGCATGTCATCCATCCCAATCGCGTGGATCGATGTTTATGATATAAATCATTGTCTGGTCCAGACTCGATTATTTACAGACCGCCGTCATATAGCTGGAATATTGCTGAGTGCGGCGTTAAACAACAAACCACAAACAGTCATAGTTTAATCACCTCGCGTGTGGCACGACTTGACTGCAACACAAAGCTACTCGAAATACCGAGTTTTATCTGACAGTTGTGTCTTTTCAATTACACTTGAAAAGGTTCACCATGACTGTATAGTCCCTCAGTGTATACCTACAATCAACCCACATTCATCGAAATACCTGAACACTGCGAGCATACAGAAGACACCTGCATTGACATGTATTAAATTCAAACAGGAAGTCTCTCTCATGAAATGGAAGCTAAATATATACATATAAAGCATAAGACAAGAAACTGTGATAACTATGGAACCCTAGAAGGGACATGGTTGTCGCATTGTCGCCCTCACAAATACAAGCAAACTGTGTCAAACTTTACCAAAGCGCGTCCATGCGACACTGTCCCTGCTAGGATTGCATACATAACACAGCGTCGAGCTAGACCCATTGACAGACGTACCCTATATGTTGATGGGAGCAGCTTGTTTCAAACGGATGGGGAGACTATGAAGGCTGATGTCTACTGTGTAAAACAAGGTAATTTTGAAACAGCTCGCAGATACTCTCTCTGTGCCACTTTCTGCTCTCCCCTTCCTCCTTTCTCTATCTTACTCACTGTCGCTCTGCATAACATTCTTGCTTGCCATAAGAGGCGACCTACGGGATCGGGTGGTCAGGCTCGCTGACTTGGTTGATGCATGTTATCGATCCCAATTGCGTGGATCGAACTCATGGTGTCAATCACTGGATTGTCTTGTCCAGACTCGATTATTTAGAGACCGCCGTCATATAGCTGGAATATTGCTGAGTGTGGCGTTAAACAACAAACCAACCAACCACTATCGCTCTGTCTGTCTTTGTCTGTCTCTCTCTCTCCCGTTTCTCCTCTCAGCATGCGAGCATACCTGAATGTACAAACATGGTGTGATGTGCCATAAATAACACAATTAAACATATAAACTGTGAATAGTGACACTCTCTTATATTTATGAATCAATAAATATCAATGTTTTTGAGGAACTAACACAAAAACAATCGAGGTATCATAGACGAATAGCCCATTTCTGGTGTCCCCCGCCGTGATATTGCTGGAATATTGCTAAAAGCGGCGTAAAACCATAGTCATTCACTCACTCACTCATAGACGAATAACGACGAAACAAATTTCTGATAATGGATGTAATGTCATCAACGAACATTTTCCCTTGAACCTTTTGAACTTACTCTTATAATTGTTAACTGTTAATGAATATGCATAAACCGTACTGAAGTGATACAAGTTCTGGCTTGAATGATATGCTTTGACACGAAGGGGCACGGGTGGCCCAGTCGTCTAAGTTGCGTCCTTTGGACACGCCAGAAATATATGATTGTGGGTTCGAATCCCGGTTCGCCCCGATTATGTTTCTAGGTTTGTCAGCACTATACCCGTGCTCGTGGGTTTAACCGAAGTGGTAAACGTCTGAGACCTGCATCACATCGGGCTCTCCTCCCACATTAAGCTGACACGCCGTGATATAACTGGAATCCTGTTAAAAGCGGCGTTAAACCCAACTCACTCACTCACTCTATGATTGAAATTATGGGCACCGTAGGGTCGCATCGTCTGGGTACGAAGACAGAATTAACAATGTCCATTGTTGTCCAAACAAACTCCATGAAGCTCATACGGCACATAAAACCATCAACATTCTGTCGTAACATTGTGGTACATTTACCTGTACAACCTGTGTTTACACATTGATTAACGCCTATATTCCTCTGATGTTATCTTGAATTAAGAAATTCTGTTAAAAAATTTAACTTGATTGTTGCGTTTGGCAAGTGTTTGGTATGATCAGTGGTCTAGTGTTACGGAACAACAATCAGAATCCACTCAGGAGGCTGTGTAGTTTCTTTTATAAGTCCTTATAACTATTTGTTGTTTTAGATCAGTTGCATTTTTAATATCTTGATATTAACAGCTGTGTCTAACTTATCCTCTACACAATGTTATTACAAAATATTGACTTCTTGATTCTCTAGGGGCGGTCGGGTAGCCTAGTGGTTAAAGCGTTCGCTCGTCACGCCGAAGACCCGGGTTCGATTCCCGACATGGGTACAATGTGTGAAGCCCATTTCTGGTGTCCCCCGCCGTGACATTGCTGGAATATTGCTAAAAGCGGCGTAAAACCAAACTCACTCACTCACTCACTGATTCTCTGTCACATTACAGACCACATCACTATTTCTCAAAAGTGATTTATTTGTGCTAATGTTCTTATTTCTCTCTTTTTTTTGAAATCACATATGTGCCGTTCTTTATTCATCTTGTGGACATTAATCATCTGCTGTCATCATGTGGCATGCGTCCAGCGTAAGTGCATGTACATGGAAGGTATTGTGGTAACTTGATCCCAGCAAATTCCTACCACTGGAGGACATAGTTGTAAGTCAAAGCACTATGCGTGTATCTGATCTCTTATTGTATGTGTTTAACAAATGCGTTAAAAAAATTCACTGACGCAAGTATATTCTAATCAAATCAATTGGATACTTGAATATGCTTTCTTGTACATATTACATAACATCACTATCACTAAGTATGACCCACGAGCAAACCCCCTCCCCCCTGTTCTCGCTGAATCCTTCACTTCAATCCGGTATATGTTCTAGGTACGTGTGCCTGATTCCACTAGAATCTTCTAACACATGTTCCAGTACATCTCTTGAAGTACTTCTTAACATGTGATGTTACCAGTTGCAAATCATTTGAAACAAATTTACTCTCATAATATCAGAGTAGGATACCCAATATTGCATTTTCGGCCCAGCTATATGGTATTCCCCACGGACGGTGTATTTGTAGAAACAATTATATCTCCTAACGTAACAAACAACACATACATAGTTCATTTACCTTATCTTAAACGTGATGCCTACTTTAAACCTGAATCAATGTCATTGTCAACACCTATGACAATCATTTATCAGTTACGATATTTACATTCACTGGTAAATGTATCTTCGAACGTGAATGGTCATTTCTCTTCTTGTTAAGGTTAATGATACCATCCTATTTTATAGCCACGATATATCCGTTTCAACCCAATGATTGTGTATGTTGAAAACTGTTGGGTATTATATACCAAACATATTCCAAGCTGTTCCAAGTTTTAAAGACGGGGTTATTGTTCTCCAATTTTCTCCATTTTGTGTACAACAGACAACGAACAAACAACATGTTTGATTCTTTATATTCGTATTGCTACGGCACTGTAGCTCAACTGGAAATGTTGTGAGAATTGTCAATTGGTTGGTGATAAAAACTGGAAATTTACTTGAACAACATAGTACTTTTTAAAAAGAATATTCTACTTTGTCTCAGAATCAACAACTCCTGCCAGACTCTTCTTGTGATGCTGATGCTGCAGTGATATTGGCCTTGGAACTTGTTGCCAGGGAACCCTGAATCCAGTGACACCATATTAGTTCTTGGAATTACTGTTGGTGTAAGCAAAGATGGCGACAAAGCGAGAGAACTGGTCCAGCTGGCTGGATTATTTCCTATCCATCATCGGTTGCTTGGTCGGACTGTCCAACATATGGAGATTCCCCTACGTCTGTTTTCAAAGCGGAAGTGGTAAGCATTTTAATTTATAAAACCCAAGGTTTTAATATTATTAATTAATTCTTCATTCAGCACAGAACAGGGCACAGACCCTTTGCACAAAATGTTTAGCATATTTATGACAACAGTCACAATGATAAAATACGTGCTCTCTCTTCTTCACTCTGATACAGATATTTAGCGATATTAATAATCAGCTTTGTGTTGGTTGTAGATAAAAGAACATGAAACTTATTGACATTTGGTAGAAGAAAAATTTGAAGGAATATAGAGATGGCGTAGGTGAATACATGCAGGGCACATACATTCTCAATGTGTCCTGGGCGTTAATAATGGATATATGTTTCAAAGGAATATTCACTCTTTTCGGGAAGGGGGGGTTAAAATCCCAACGTACTCACAAATTGTTTGAATCGGACTTTAAAACCTGATGTGCTGTAACCATGTGCTTCCTCACAGCCGCCTTCCTCATCCCTTACTTCGTGGCCATGTTTGTGTGCGCCATGCCCGCCATCTTGTTGGAAGTGTTATACTGTCAGTATTCCAACCTCGGTCCAGGACGTGTGTGGATTATCTGCCCTTTGTTTCAAGGTAAGACAGGCAATGTCTGGAACGACATGAACGCATGTTTCTGATAAACAGATAAACGTTAATCTGATTAGTTCTGGAAGTCAGATAATGAGATTAACAATGGCAAACTGATGTGACAAGACGCCGCTGATTATGACTCTAGGCTTGTCAGCAGTATTTCTTGTCTAAGACATGCATGAGCTCGGGCTTTCCTCCTACAGTGTGCCGTTATGAAACTGGTATACTGTTCAAAGCGGCGTTTAAAGTAACTCACTCACTCAGTCAAAACAAACACGGCCTGAGCAAGAGTGACTGATGCAATTAGACTCGTACCATATATTCGTTTTGTTTCAGGTGAACAGTTGACTTGCCTTTACATGTATTTCTGATGGGTGCCGATTGGGCAGGACACACTCACCATTCAATACCTAGTATCATCACCAGTTGATAGTGATGCATAAACATATGCTATGATATGTGCATTTGACAGAGGTTTATTATAATTATTGAAAGCCTTCTTTGTCGCTTTTATTTATATATGTGAGTCGTTATCATCGCTAACATTGAATTTCGCTGTGTTCAAGGCATAGGATATGGCATGGTTGTCCTCACCGCTATCGTCAGCGTCTACTACAACGTCATCCTCGCCTGGACCCTCTACTACCTTGTGCAGTCATTTAGTACAGTCCTTCCTTGGAGCACGTGCGGTAACGAGTGGAACACTGACCTGTGTCAAAGCGCGACCAATCAAACACATTCGTCTCTTCTCGCCAATGAATCATCGTATTTGAGTGCTTCATCAGGGCGCGTCAATGTCACAACTCTGTCAACTAATAGCACAATCCAAATGGTCTCGTCTTCTGAAGAATACTGGAGGTTCGTTATTGCACACATTCTGTTAACCATGTATTTAGGCAGGATAAACTGTTACAAACATAAGGTAATCATTCATTGTGCCATGATTTACGTTGTCTATGATTAGTTTTATGTACATGTATGTTCACGATAGGCTTACGTTTGCCTGGCATCCCAGGCCCCAAATGCATGTTCTTTTCATGTCTGTCACAACATAAACATGTTTTGTGACCTGTATAGGCAAATATCATGTATCGACAATGTGTTTTTCATGGTTAATTTAACAAAACATCTACCTCATGTAGATCACATTGGAAGGATTGGTCATTAGCCTCATCAGAGAAATGGGATTATAGTTAATAAATGATTACCGGTTGATGAGGTAAATAGTTACACGTATCCAGGAATGAATAATCTTTCGGGATTTCTTTTACTTGGGGAAAATTTGTTTTCACACATTAGTAAGGACTAATGATTGTTACCCTTTAAAAAATAAAACCAGTCCCCCCCACCCCCATCCCCACCCCCATCCCCATCCGAACCCAAGTGTGGCAACCATGTCCATAGTCATTAGAAATCTCCAGTGATAATACCAGGCGCGGGCGAAAAAAAGACCATATCCTGACACCCGTCACAAAACACATGCAAAGGCCTGTCTCATATCTAATGTCTTCCAAAAATATCTTCTCCACTCTCCTTTCCCCTATTGGCTGGTAATAAAGTAGGTGGGTTTTGTGGTCATTTATTCATATTGAACAGACTTCATCACATCCCTTTATGGAGGTGGAAACGTGGAAACCGGCGCGCACACAATGTAAATACTCTTGACATGTCGTGACACTGGATGGGTGTTATCGTACATGTAGCTGCAATGGCCAGTGAAGTGAATAACACGTTTTATGTAATTGAACGGTATTTGTTTGTATGCACATTTCAGCAATCACGTTCTTCAGATGTCCTCAGGAATCGGTGAAGCCGGAAGCGTCCGGTGGCAGCTACTTCTATGTTTACTGGGAGCCTGGTTGATAGTGTTCCTCAGTCTTATAAAGGGCATCAAGTCCTCGGGCAAGGTATTGTCATTACAAGAAGTGTATACTATGTCTGATGCTGTGGCAGCTATTTCTGTGTTTACTGGGAGCCTTGCTGGCGGTGTTCCTCAGTCTTATAAAGGGCATCAAGTCATCGGGCAAGGTATCGTCATTGCGCGATTACTCGTTCCATGTGTTGTTATGTATTATTATTTAGTTCTGTTGGGAAGTTTGTTATGATCATTTAACTACCTAATAATTACCAATATAACACCAATATATTCAGCACTATCCTTGTAAGACCATTTGCTACCCGTTTCCTTTGTGTAAGATTTATATATATATTTATTTGGCACATTGATGATTAATGTATATGCTATTGCAGGTTGTGTATGTTGCAGCCACAGTTCCGTATTTGATTCTCATAGCTCTGCTTATTCGTGGATTGCTGCTGCCGGGTGCTGTGGAAGGAATCAGATACTATGTTATACCTCAGTGGGAAAAGCTTTTGGATATTAAGGTGTTATTTTCTTTTTGAGTAAATATTATGCTTCTTGTGTTTGGTGAGGTGAGGTGAAATGGGGTTTAACGTCGCGTCCAAGATAATTGCACTTATATAGCGACGGGCATGTACGTGTGTGTGTTTGTGTGGCTGCTTGTACAAGTCCGGACTGATGCCGATTTATAGTGCTAGCTCACTGAGATACCATGCCGCAGTTTAACATGAATACCCCACTCAGTATACGGAGACACAGTATACTGACTCCGAGCCGACCAGTCCTTGTTTTAGCCCCTAATGCCGAGCGCCAGACAGGGTAACAACAAGTACCATCTTTTAACGTCTTTTGGTATGACGCGGCTGGGGATCGAACCCCGGACCTTCCACTCTCCGGGCGGTCGCTCTACCATTAGACCACGGAGGCGGTCCTTCTTGAGTTTGAATTCCATTTGATGAATTACATGTATGTGGTGAAGTAAAAGTGCACATGAGTGGCCACCCAAGACGTTCCCTTGACTGAAATAATACAAATATCAAGCAAAAGGTTTCTTTGGTAAATTGCTTTGCAAATAAGTGCTAATCATCAGTAGGATGTTTGCCATGGTACACAAGGTGGCGTATTGAGAACTACAGAGGTGTTATTAACATTGCGTTTAAGGTATGGCGTAATGCCGCTGCCCAGGTGTTCTTCTCTGTGGGTATTGGATGGGGAGGAATATCTATCCTGGCTAGCTACAACAGATTCCACAATAACTGCTACAGGTATGGACATTATTATGTTTTAGGGGCGGTCGGGTAGTCTAGTGGTTAAAGCGTTCGCTCGTCACGCCGGAGACCCGGGTTCGATTCCCGACATGGGTACAATGTGTGAAGCCCATTTCTGGTGTCCCCCGCAGTGACTTTGTTGTAATATTGCTAAAAGCGGCGTAGAACCAAACTCACTCACTCGCTATTATGTTTCATAAGTGCTCATTTTGTTTCATCTACATTGACGTCTGTATTGCAGCATATCAGTCACATTGACCATCTACACTTTTCGTGAACACTTGATGATGACGATATGCAACTTGTGTATTGTGTCATCTTGGAGTTTCGTATTTTAAACCATCCAAACCCAAAACCATGCTGTTGTTTCCTAGCTTGGATATACAGCTTTTTTCTTTATCTTGTTCTCCAAAATTCTTCAGCTTGCAAGAGAATATGTCCTTTATATCTCAGTCACAAGTTTCAAACTCAATTATATCACAGCAAATTGTTGGAGCGGAAAGAGGCTTGATATAGATCGTATTCATTCTTTTGTGGAAGTTTGCACCCGTGAAGATTCCGGGTTAGAATAGATGTTCAGCAACCCATACTTGCCGTAAAAAGGCGACTATGCTTGTCGTTAAAGGCGACTAACGGGATCGGGTGGTCAGGCTCGCTGACTTGGTTGATGCATGTCATCGATCCCAATAGCATGGATCGATGCTTATGATATCAATCACTGGATTGTCTGGTCCAGACTCGATTATTTACCGCCGTCATATAGCTGGAATATTGCTGAGTACGGCGTTATACAACCAACCAACCAAAATAACAAATTTATATGATACCTTAATTACCTTAATTATCCTTAAGACATCGATGGTTGATGATATAATATCACTACGCGCTGCACAAACAAGGTACATCTTGGTCCATCTTTCTACGTGGGTTTCATTTTTCCTTGTAGAGACGCTCTAGTGATCCCAGTGGTGAATTGCCTCACCAGCTTGTTTGCAGGATTCATCATCTTCGTGTTCCTGGGCTACATGGCCAACCAATCCAACCTGCCTATCTCCGCTGTTGTCAAAGAAGGTGCGTGTGATCCATAAAATAAAGAAGCAACAATACGACAAAAAAAGGTCATGGTTCATCTCATGATACTATTTTTTAGAAGCGTTTAAATAAGTCATAGCCTGCACGCTACGTTGCAACATAAAATATTGTATTTTCATTGCATTGGTCACCCACACCAAAGACCTAAATATAAAACGTCAACGCCAGATAATAACCAGTCTCGACTGTAAGCCATTTCGCAAGTGTACAGCCAAGAATAGTCAGACGCACTTCACTCGTAGCAACTGTCGCATAAACAAGCATGAAGAATTGTAAAGGTTAAAAAGGCATTAACGTGAACAGACCACCACCTATTTCACTCCATCTCCACGTTGCACATTTGGGTGATCCATGTTCATAGTAAGTTGTCAACACTGTTTTCCCTTTTGCGCCCAAAGATATCTGTTACGGCAGATAGTCGAGACCAGAAATGGGCTTCACACATTGTACCCATGTCGGGATTCGAACCCGGGTCTTCGGCGGGACGAGCGAACGCTTTAACCACTAGACTACCCGACCGCCCCCAAATGCAACACGGACCCGTGAAGATTCCGGGGTACAATAGGTCTTCAGCAACCCATGCTTATCGTAAAAGGTGACTATGCTTGTCGTAAACGGCGACTAACGGGATCGGGTGGTGGGACTCGCTGACTTGGTTGATGCATGTCATCAATTTCAATTGCGTGGATCGATGCTCATGATATCAATCACTGGATTGTCTGGTCCAGACTCGATTATTTACAGACCGCCGTTATATAGCTGGAATATTGCTGAGTGCGACGTTAAACAACAAACCAGCAAACCAACCAAATGCAACACAAACTTTCGTCATTAAAACATGACTGACTGTTCAACTGCAATCAGATGGTGGATGTGTTATTCACCACAGGTCCTGGTCTGGCATTTATGGTCTACCCCGATGCTGTGGCGACAATGCCGGTGTCTCAGCTGTGGTCAGTTCTGTTTTTCCTGATGCTGTTCCTCGTCGGTATGGACAGTCAGGTAGATTCTTAGACACTCCATTGATTTCCAGAAACTTCCCGTTAAACGGAAAAAGAACTTAACTCAGGAACACGGCGGGGGACATCAAGATTTGGCTTTACACATTGTATTCAATCAGCGAGCTGAGTCTGTGCCTTAGCATGACAACTGGTCGGTTAACTCCATTGATGATGGAGGTCTACAAACAATTAACTACAAGACATACATAGATGAGTGTTAAAGGGCCATGAAAATGGATCGAACCTGAGCGTTTTATGATTCAAGATTCTTTAACATAGTTTTAACATGTGATGAATTGTGAGTGAGTCGCATCAGCACCATGTCAGCCATTCACATAAAACATATTCACGTTACAATAACAGTTGCCTTTATATTTGAAAGAATGTTGGTGACATGAAAACCTTGAGTGAGTGAGTGAGTATGGTTTTACGCCGCTTTTAGCAATATTCGAGCAATATCACGGCGGGGGACACCAGAAATGGGCTTCACACATTGCTCCCATGTCGGGAATCGAACCCGGGTCACTGGCGTGTCGAGCGAACACTTTAACCACTAGGCTACCCCACCGCCCCGAAAACCTTGAGCATGAGACGTGATTAGAGTACTCGATCCTTTAACTTTAACTATAGTAACGACAATGAGATCACCTGAACGTGCATGACCCTGCTTAACATTTCAACAAGTTTATATATTAAGGTTATTAACTCTTTTCATGCTTCAGTTCGTTCACGTTCAGACGATAGTCTGTGCCATCACAGACGCCTTCCCAAGATCTCTCGGTCATCGAAAGTTACCAATAACAGCTATCGTATGCGGTGTAGGCTTTCTCCTAGGATTTTCCTGTGTCACTCAGGTGAGCTATGTCCAACCCTACACGAATATCCCTTCACTCGGGTGAGCTATGCCCAACCCTACACGAAGTTCCCTTCACTCAGGTGAGCTATGTCCAACCCTACACGAACATCCCTTCACTCAGGTGAGTTATGTCCAACCCTACATGGACATCCCTATATGCAGTTGAGATATTTCCACAACTACACGAACATCCCTTCACTCAGGTGAGCTATGTCCAACCATACACGAACATCCCTTCACTCAGGTGAGCTATATCCAACCCTACACGAACACCCCTTCACTCAGGTGAGCTATGTCAAACCCTACATGGACATCCCTTCACTCAGGTGAGCTATGTCCAACCCTACACGAACATCCCTTCACTCAGGTGAGCTATGTCCAACCCTACACAAACATCAGGTCACTCAGGTGAGCTATATTCACACCTACATGAAAATCCCTTCACACAGGTGAGCTATGTTCATCCTTCAAGAGAATTTTTAATTCAGTTGAGCAATGTCACAGACACAGACAGCCCTTCATTCGGGGGAAACATTTTCACATGTTACATCCCAAATCGCGGGAAAGTATTCGTTGATGTTATTCTTACGTGTCCGTAATAAAAATGTGGACAATACCAACCATATACAACGTTAACAATGTTCCGTCCAGGGAGGTATCTACGTGTTGACACTGATGGACTGGTACATCGGGAGTATCTCAGTCATGGTGCTGGCGATGTCGGAAATGTTGGTTCTAGCGTGGATATATGGTAAGACAGCTTTCTACATGAAGCCAGTTGCGTGTTTTGTGTAGTTCTATGTAAACCAAGACTCCCAGTCTTGTTATATCAAAAATGTTAGTTTCCCTTATATATACCGCTATACAGTAAACTACGGTTATAACAAACTCAAGGGACTACTAATTTTAGTTCGTTATAACCGTAATTCGTTATGAGCAAATATACAGCATAACTACAGCATATAGTCGGGACTAAAAAGTTAGTTCGTTATATCCGTTAGTTCGTTATAAGCGTGTTCGTTATAACCGTAGTTTACTGTATATACTTTCATTGTATTATTGCCCGCAGATCTGTTCACATGGATTCTCTGACATACAAAAGAATGCAAATTTTGATGGCTAGGAAATGAACCAAAGCATGATGTTGGCATAACCTCGCACGCTTACACGTAACTTGATCAGAATATGTTCTTAAACGTTGTTATCTTCTGACACAGGTGTAAATCGCCTGTATGATGATCTGACGATGATGATTGGCTATCGAGTGTCTCCTGTATGGAAGCCCATGTGGCTCGTCCTCACTCCCCTGTTAGTCTTTGTGAGTTGCCATTTATTTTAATTGTTACAAATGGAGTGAGTGAGTGAGTGTGGTTTTACGCCGCTTTTAGCAATATTCCAGCAATATCACGGCGGGGGACACTAGAAATGGGCTTCACACATTGCACCCATGTCGGGAATCGAACCCGGGTCTTCGGCGTGACGAGCGAACGCTTTAACCACAAGGCAACCCGACCGCCCCATAACAAATTTAGAAGTATATAACTGAGTGAGTGGGTGAGTGAGCTTAGAACAACGTCTCTGTGAGCAGTTTTTCAGTATCGCAGCCTGTTAGCATCTGAGGTGGAAAGCCCGACCTGATCCAGGACTTAGGCTTAGAACCAATGGGCACAGGATGGTTCTGGCAAACCAAGAAACATTATCTTGGTGAAGTGAGTGAGTGAGTGAGTTGGGTTTAACGCCGCTTTTAACAGTTTTCCAGTTATATCACGGCGTGTCAGCTTAATGTGGGAGGAAAGCCCGAAGTGATGCAAGTCTCAGACGTTTACCACTTCGGTGAAACCCACGAGCACGGTATGGTGCTGACAAACCAAGAAACATAATCGGGGCGAACCGGGATTCGAACCTACAATCATATGTTTCTGGCGTGCCCAAGGGACGCAACTCTGCACAGCGAATCGCTGCGCCTTAGACGACTGGGCCACCCGTGCCCCCCCTCTTGGTGAAGAGTACATGACGTAATACAAAACCCTCCTTCTCGTGATGCAATTCTGACATTCCAGTAATATCACATATCAAATTCAAATCCAAATTACGCATTTATATAGCGCTACCTATCCAGACATACTGCCTGCTCAAGAGCGCTCAGTCGTATGCTCTTGTGAAGAGGATGGTCTTGAGTTTTGACATCTTCAGACCCTCTGACATCAATGGGCAGTGCATTCCATAGAGTTGCACCTGCTTTTTGGAAGATTCTGTCGCCATATGTTGTTCTGCTGGTTGGTGGAACAGCAAGCTGTAGTTTGTTTGCAGATCTCAGTGTTCGGCCAGGTTGGTAAAGGGCAGTGAGTTCCTGGAGGTGTACTGGGGATAGCCCATGGATCGATTTGTAGACAAACATGATCAGCTTGAACACGATCCTGAGTCTCACAGGTAGCCAGTGCATGTCGTACATTTTTTTAAATTTGAATTTTCCATGACAGGCATTGCTGATAGCAGGACTCATAAACTTTTCGCCAGTCACACTTGGTGGGACAGGCTATCCGGCATGGGCTCAAAGTATTGGATGGATCATCGCCACGTGCCCCGTTCTTCCGATTCCATTCGGAATGGCGTTTGCCATTTGGAAGGAACAAGGTACCACTTTCAAAGAGGTAAGGAGAATTATTGTTCTGTAGCTCATGTGAGTAAATCCTGATTTTAGTTGAATCGAAAGGGGTCTATTTTAAGGTTAAAATGAAGACGATACAAAGCTTTGATATCTTTGATAATTACTCTTCAGAGGCTGATCAATACTACAAAACCTAGGAAGGAATGGCGACCAGCACTTGATGAAACACTTACCAACTACGAGATGAAGGAGACAACAGCAGATGTATTACTTGACAAAAGTTGCACATAGAGCTACTATCGTCAGTAATATTGCCAGATGGATGTTTATCATTTGCACAGATATAAAACGTCAATGACAGATACTAATCAGTCTCGATCATTGGATGAAACTATGTATATAAACACATTAGGTGTAGGAAATCGCGTTATTTAGGGACCAAGGGCAGGGAATTGTATTCGGCCAGGGACATCCGTTGGTTAATTGAAAAAAGAATTTGAATCATCCTATAAATTTGATATAAGTACGTAATGTGTGTGTATGTTGTAGTCACTTGTCGCTATAATTACGGGGACGGTCAGGTAGCCTAGTGGTTAAAGCGTTCGCTCGTCACGCCGAGGACCCGGGGTCGATTCCCGACATGGGTACAATGTGTGAAGCCCATTTCCGGTGTCCCCCGCCGTGATATTGCTGGAATATTGCTAAAAGCGGCGTAAAACCATACCCACTCACTCACTCACTATAATTACGCGTTGGCCGTAATTAGTTCTCCACGGTCGTTTGGGCTTTTGGTGCCCGAGCCGCGTGTTTATCACTTTGTATGCCGCGCGTCATGATTTATGGTCTGCGAATCATAATATTGTTGGCCAATGGCCGTCAGCCATAGTGGTATATAAGGACCTGGTACTGCAGCATTCAGTGTCGTATCACCTCGAGTTCCCAAACACTGAAACTTTTGTCTATTATTACGAGGCTATTTCACAAACTCTTGACAAACAAGATGTCCCCCTCTTATTTAAGTTTCAGAATGTGTTAATGTGTAGTTGGGTTGGGGAGAGATTAAGATGTAGGTAAAGTAGTATATATGTAGGTTTATCATTGATATAGTGTGTGTGTGTGTGTGTGTGGGGGGGGGGGGGGGGGGGGGGGGGCGGGGGTACTTATGGGAGAAGGGCCGTGGAGTAGCCTGGTAGTTAAAGCTTTTGACTCGTCACGACGAAAGACCCGGGTTCGATTCCCCATATTGGTACAATGTGTGAAGCCAATATTCCGGTGTCCCCAACCGTGATAATGCTAGATTATTTCTAAACGCGCCGTAAAACCATACTCGCTCACTCACAAACGTACGTGGGGAAAACTTGAGAATGGGTAGATTTAGAGGTAGGTTTATTTAGTTAATAGATATTTGAGAAAAGATGCTTTCTTCGGCATGATTGTTGAGTCGGTTCATTTAATATTGTGTAAACTGTTTTTCGTTGGTTATTCATTGAATTCATTATATTCTCCACAAGACTTTGTGTCATCATTTACCCGAAGTCTGATGCATGAACCCAAACCCCGGAGTCTCACGGGAGTGTTCAAGCTTGATGAATCCCGCCTGAAACCACAAAATACCATCAATTGTTATACCTCCATTAAGAAACTTGCAATTTCATTGGTTCATCCGTACCACGTGACGAAACAAAACATTTCAATGTAGATCCCCGAATCACGTGACTGACTCTAACCTTGATTATCGTTCCATGAATAATATCGACTTGTCACAATTGAATATTGAAAACAAGATTGTTAATGGTTCGCAGCTAGATCACGTTAAGGAAATCTAGGACGATTTAAAGGCTTCATTACCTTTTAAGTGTATTTCGGTGTAACGAAACGAATGAAAACTCTTGACGAGGTCAATTTGACAAAACAAGCACCCTTTTAACCAGACGCCATCTTGTTTTCTAGCAGACGAGTCAATATCTATCACGTGACAGGATGAGTCAATGCTCGAGGTCAGTGTCAGTAACATGATATTTGGGTCAACATCCAAACGTATTGCTTCGTCACGTGGTACGGATTAAGATTCTTAATAGAGGTATAACAAAAACCGTTCAGCAACATAAGCCTTTCAGTTGCCATAAAGCTACCATGTTAATATGCAGTGTTGAGAAAACTTACTACTGCACTTGATTAAGTACTCCATTAATAATGCTTTTACCACTATTTTGCCCTTTACGCCAAATGGAATCTGTATTATGAGTTTAATCTACCTTGGCCTTGTGAGTGCGGAAAAGATGATCTTGTTCATGTAGATAAAACAAACAATTCCATTTTGTTGGTCATGACAAATCCATGCCTCCGTATGCCTAGTGACAACAATTCAACTCAATCTATATCGAGGAGCCAAAGGGAACACAACACAAGAACCTTTGACGGTAAATTAAATTTTGTCTGAAAATGTTTCGAACACACGTTATGGTTGAAACAAAGTCGACATCTCCTGTCGGACTCTTGATTGTGAGAGGTTTCTGGTCCGAGAATGAGGCTTAACTCCCTGGAGCACCTGTTGTAGTCCATTCCTAGCTGTGCTGCGCAAACGTAAAAAATAATAATAGTACTTTCAATTGCTGAGTTACCTTGGTTCCATGTCAAGTTCCACAGCAGGAGTAAAGTGCTTAAGAAAATGATTTTCAATGATGTTATCACTTAGTTATTCAAAGATGTCGTAATAAATCAGACGTCATTGAACAAGAAAGAAGTTTATCTTTGTCTGTGTAGGTACGCTTTGGCCATTTTCTTAGATTAAATGTTTATTAGATATCTCCATTTAGTCATATTACAATGATCGTATCGTGAAACTAGTTTCCATTGGACTTTTACTACACACGGGCAAATGACAAGAATCAAGTAGGGCTTTGGGCAAACAATAACAAGCATATATCAATGAAAAGAATTTTCTCGTTGCAGGAATAGATCACATGGACGTACCATTTCCGAGCTCTTTTCCTGCAATTGGATATAAGACGCTCAGCAATGGAAGGGTTCGGATCATTATTTTTTACAAAATGTTCGGCGTATAAATCATCAAGGGTTAAGTTTGAAGATGTTATTTGACATATGTTTTCAAAGTGGGTGAAAATATGTTTGGGAGTTTTTAGATTAATCAAACAAATTAAGGACCAAGCAGGTGGCCATGTATTACCGTATTTGAGATGTTTATTTAATGTTGTTAATGTCTGCAGCAATGGAGGAAGCCAAAGTGTTGTTTAATAGCTCAAATGAATAATCATTTATTATTATTATGTACAGATTAAAATTAAAAATGCATCAAAGAGGGTTTGAGTGATCCTGGCACAGGCTGGTTAGGCTCATCATCAGCTCAGGGCCCTTGCCCCCTCTACACGCAGCCCAGACAGCGAATGGGATTTATCCCAGGAAGCGCTGCCAAGTCAAGAGTGACAATTTAAACTCCTTACAGCGAAAATTCGTAATGTTTAACTTTTAATTTTGCTACACGATAAACATGGCAATGTAGGCTTAGGGTAACCTTGTCACCCAGACTGAATATCAAACGATATTCTCCGAGGGATAAGTCAATATCTTCAAAAAAGCCAAAACGAAAATAAAGGGTGCCAATAGTCTTTATTGAAATGATTACATTGACGCTGACCAGCACGATAACTGGGGAGCTATGGTGGATACTATACGTTATGTCTCATACGACTCGGTCAAATAGCACCACGTTTATAACGACATTATGTATGGATTTCAAAACGCCATTGTTATAATTTCAGGTAATTAAGGATTGACTGTGTATTTTTTTCGGTTCATTGAGGTATGAATCGAAAAACCGATGTGCAAACTTTTTTAAGAATCCGCTAATTCGCCAAAGTAAAGCATGTTTTATCTACAATTGTTTAACCAAAACACAGTTGTAGATATCAAAACAGACGATTGATAAACATTCAACGTGTAGGAATACATCCTGTGGCGTGACATGAATCAGGTGATCGTTTAATTTATGCATATAACTTGACACGCCTATACAGTCAGTAGCCAATCAACTGAGAGTATTATGAAAACAATGTTCTTTGGACCTGTCACTTACGGCAAGAGGCGAAAAGAACTGCAAGAGTCATACTGTAACTAGCCGGAAGAAATATGTCCGGGAGAAGGCAACTGTTTCAAATAACATGGTCAGTTACCGCCAAATTCAAATTTCCCTGTTACAGTAAAACAGAGTTGGAAAAAATGACAGTTAGAAATGAAACCCGAAGACATAAAGTTGAACGGGGAAAAAACAAGTGAGCGAGCCTGAACGCTTGCTGTTTCATGCATTCTCGGCCTTCGGTTACAAAGGGTTGTTTGGACAATGAATATGCATGACAGTCGCTAATGTCCTGTGCATGACGATGCACGTGAGCAGAAACGGAATTCCCTCGACTGTAATATTGGGATTCCCCGACATTCTGTAATAATAAAAGTAGTGCGCCTCGGTGGGCGTGGCTTAATTTTTTTACATCCATTGGGAAATGAATGCAATAACACGTGACCAATTAGGCTAATCAGAATGCAGGAATTTCAATGAACACAACGAAAATTTAATTATTTGGGATTATAAGGAACAACCACAGGAACCTCGATATATGATAGGAATGAACAATACCCTACTTATGAACACACAATACCTTTTAGGAAGTGGTCAAATGTAACACATGTTTTATTTGGGATAACACTTTCTAAGTTAAGTACAGAATAAATTAGTCTGGTTCTCGTATTTTGGGCGTTGAATCTCATGCGGGATTCGAACATGTTTTTTATAGAAATAGTAGATTACGGCATACATCAAGTCATGAACATATGTGTGCCTGTATATAAGTCATAAGGTTTTATCGCTTGTACAATGGATAGTCATAATTATTTGAACAGTTTGCACTATAGCCTGATTAACACGTATGCAAATCATGATTCACGTAACTGCCAGTTACAGTATTTAAGGATATTTCTTCATTGCTGTCATAGACGAATCATAGATAAGCGGGAACATGTGGCCAAGTCAATTAGCTGTGCTGAGTTCTTTTTTCAAAGTTTTGTCAAAAAGAAAGACAATGCTATGAACTTACACAATTTATTCACCAGGTCACCTTCACGCTAAGAGCAAACTGATATTGATAAACCACATGTTGTACTGCGCATAGCTTTCTGTGAAAAGAGACAGACGTATGTATTACTATTTCTGTACTGAGACTGAACATATCACAAGCTGTTTGTACTGAGGTACGTACATTGAAGAATATCAAGTTTGGTTTTATTGTTTGGTAGTGGTTGAGGATTGCATTTCATATCTATTACTACAATGTATTCTTCCGTGTTCTAATTATCTGGTCATGGTTGGCGAACACACCTCCATACCTCGAATCAAACTCTAAATAAGTGAGACAAAATATTTATTGCAATAACAACTACAATTGCACTGTTAGCCAATAATTGGGCCGTGACTTTGCGATTTACATGCTGCAACATTAGCGTCAGGCATTACGATGAAGCCGAAGGACTTTCCGGGGGCAGTCACTGACCCGGTTGTGACAGTTTTCGGTGACAGTTGAGGTATCTGGCTGTTGACGAACGTCAGTAGTTTTCCATTGAGATGAACCTTCCTGAAATTGAAGTCCATATAATGTGAGTGAGTGAGTGAGTGAGTGAGTGAGTGAGTGAGTCTGGTTTTACGCCGCTTTTAGCAATATTCCAGCAATATCACTGCGGAGGACATCAGAAATTGGCTTCTCACATTGTCCCCCATGTCGGGAATCGAGCCCAGGTCTTCGATGTGAAGAGCGAACGCTTTCACCACTAGGCTACCTAACCGCCCCTTTAATATTTATGAGATATGTGGATGAGATAGTATTCCTAAAGCACACACTTATAATATAGCAATGTATATATCGAGAGAAGTGTCCACTCCGTTTGTATAATATGCGCTCCTTTGGGGATTCAGGGTTAGAATTCAACCCAAGCAACGTATGCTTCTCGTACGACTTCATGGATCTGTATGTCAGTGACTTAGTTGATAGAGTGTCTCGTACCCCGATCGTGTGGATAGATGTTCCATACTAGTTTGTCCATACTCAATGATTTACATATCGCCTTCACGTAGCTGGCATTATTGCTTGGTGCGAGGTCAAACATCAAACAAACACAAAAATCATAACATGCACACATGTGTAAATATAATATTCTCACATTCGTATGATATGTATGAATTATATGAATGGACCACTGAAAATCAGTGATGACACTGGTCACTAAAAAGGCACACATGTCCTGCCCTACCGGTAGCACCCGCCATTCTCTTAATTTAAGTAATTATCTCCCGTCTCCGGATGTACAAATGATCCAAGATTAAGTTGGAGTATCAGAGTATGCAAAAAAACGATTCATTCTTCTGACGTTGAGAATTCGGATGTTCAGAAGATTAGCAATATTTGTGTTTAGCAATATTCCAGCAATATCACAGCGGGGGACACCAGGAATCAGCTTCAAACATTATACCCATTAGGGGAATCGAGCCCGGGTCTTTTGTGGGACGAGCGAACAGTTGAACCACAAGGCTACTCCTCGGCCTCCAAAGTGTACAAGCAAGGGTCTTATTTTGCCCGGAAGCCCCGATGGACTAAAACTGTCAGACCAACAACTCCTGAGTGAGTGTACGTACCCTGCCTCCACATTCCCCCAATCAGGAGTGAGCCAGAAGACGTCCATGTGATGCTGGCTGTGTAGATGTGGGAAGTGGAGTTGTGCTGACGCCGTGTTCACGTTCAGGACATACACCGTTACACTTCCTGGTTTGTAGTTGTACATGCTGGAAATACAATGAACCAAACGTTTCAGAAACAATAACACGCATTTACACACAAGCACACACGTGCTTGTAGAAATGAAATGGGTTTTTATAGCTTTCATCTTGTGCAGTTATTCATTACGTTTTCATGTCATTCGAATAGCTGTATATACAGTAAAACATTTTAGTTCACATCCTACAAACAAAATAGCTGCATATACAGTAAAACATTTTAGAACACAGCCCACAAACAAAATATCTGCATATACAGAAAAACATTTTAGTTCACAGCCCACAAACAAAATATCTGCTTATACAGTAAACATTTTAATTCGCAACCCACAAACAAAATATCTGAAAATACAGTAAAACATTTTACTTCACTGCCCACAAACAAAATATATGCTTATTCAGTGAACAATTTAGTTCACAGAACACAAACAAAATATCTGCATATACAGAAAAACATTTAAGTTCACAGCCAACAAACAACGTATCTGCAAATACAGTAACACATTTTACTTCGCTGCCCACAAACAAAATATCTGCATATACACTAAAACATTTTAGTTCACAGCACACAAACAAAATATCTGCATATACAGTAAAACATTTTAGTTCACTGACCACAAACAAAATATCTACATATGCAGTAAAACATTTCAGTTCAAAGTAAACAAACAAAACATCTGCAAATACAGTAAAACATTTCAGTTCAAAGCAAACAATCAAAAGGTTTCCTTTATGAATTGAAAAGTAAGTGAGTGTGCCGTCATCGGTCATCTTCAAAGTGCTCCAAGAGGTAGGCTCAGTTAACTATCCATTTTATGTACTGTTCTGAAAGATACTGTAAAACTATGTTTTCCTCGTGTTTTACCAGACAAATGTTCGCTTGATATATCACTTGAACTCACTTCGTGTGTTTGATGCAGTGGGCATAGATCCGGAGGTTTTTAGTTGAAGAGTGAACATCAAATACTTTGTTACCAACCAACCTCTTGTACAGTACAGTCAGCCAGAAATCCTTAATATACAAAACAAGCTTCTTATATGTATATATAATGTAAGATCAACCAAACTTGAAGATATCAGAATATTAACAAGTAAAATGCACATTTCAAATTAACATTATGTTAGTTCCAAATGTAAGAAGAATACGGTATGCACATCTTAAAATATAGTTTAAAAAATAGAAGCTATAATTACTCTACCAAACGTTCTTAAGCAAATAAAAAAGGACAGCAATATTAATGCTTTCAGCAAATGCACAAAAAATGAATTGCATATTAACCAATACGCCAAAGTATCGAACGCAATTAAGATATCAAATGTTCTTATAAGTACATGGCATCTTTTATGAGCAAAATACATATACATACACCTTGGATGGCAGTGAAATTAATAAAAGTATTGTCAATTAAACTTACAGGTAGAGGATCGTTGGACGAACTTATAAGCCCATTCTTTCCGCCGAGGAGGACCTGTCGCAATACGCCTTTAATTCCATATCTAGCCGAGACACCAAGTTTATCAAGCCACCTAAGACCAAAAGGTCAATGAACCTGCTTTTAGTTACGTCAATATCGCTAGGCCATGCCACAAGTAATGCTTGTTATTAATGCCACTAGATATAAATATAATTTTCCCTACTAAATATAACACCAGAAAATACACAGAAGCTACCGGCATTATACAGCACTTACCTTTAGCAACAAAAAGACAATATTTGATGAAATAACTTGATGAAGAATATTATTTTGTCTTTAGCATTTGCTTTCTACAAGGGTAATACATATGGCCCAGTCGTCTCAGCCGCCCCAACTCGCTTTGCAGAGTTGCGTTCTGTTTTGTGCGCCAGGAACCTATATAGTCCCTACAAATACATTCTCTACAAGCACTTTGTCAAAGCTGATTCTCATTGAATATGAGGGGTAAATGTAGTATAAATACCTACTACCCCTTACCATGCACCTTTGGGAAAGCCATGCACTGCCACCGGCACGGTCAACTTTACAATAACGTCCTACCAGACACCAGTCACTCTTCCCGTATATTTTCGCGAGATCTGTCAAACCGATATTTATCATCCAAAACTGGCTCCGAAAGGAGATATCGCTTGGATGAGATCAAGCGATATCTACACTGTAGATATTGCTGCAATGAAATTACATCACAATGCTTTGCAGACCATTGTGACGTCACTGGTTACCATTGCGTCACAATCAAATGACATCACAAATGGCTCTGCTACTGAAGCTCTGCTACTGAAGTACTTTTTACACTGAAGACACTGCCTACAAATTGAAAAAGTTGAAAGAATGATGTTGGATGATAAATAAAATCTCACCCTCGTGTCTTTTGATATCAAATATATCAACACTCGTTGATAAAAGTGACAAAAATTCTCGGCAAGCCTCGGAATTTTTCCACTTTTATCAACTCGTGTTGATATATTTGATATCAAAAGACACTCGCGTGAGATTCTCTATTTATTTTACTCTATGATACAATATATACGTAAAATGGTAGATTGTATGGGAAATCTCCTGGTGAAGATGGAATCCCTCCTGAATTTTTTAAACTTTCAGAAACAATTCTTATTAAATACTTGAGACCTTTATTTAATAAAATATTAGATACCGGTATATTTCCTGAAGCATGGAACATTGGACTTATAATACCTATACATAAATCTGGTGTTACCTCTGACCCTAACAATTATAGAGGATTATCCCTGCTAAATGCAACTGGGAAATTATTCACGTCAATACTTGAAAAAAGACTACGATCATGGATGGATATAAACGATTTAATACATGAAGCACAAGCTGGATTCAGATCCAACTATTCAGTAACAGACACCATTTTCACACTCCAGGCCCTTTGTACTAAATATTTAACAAAGCGAGGGGGGCGATTTTATTGTGCTTTCATTGATTTCAAGAAAGCCTTTGACTTTGTGGAAAGGAAAAAACTATTATATATGCTCTTACAAAAAGGTTGCCATGGCAAGTTGTATAATGTCTTAGCTAGTATGTATTCTGCTGTTAAGGCTTGTGTAAAAACAGACAAAGGTAAAACAGATTTGTTTACAACTAGATCCGGTGTAAGACAAGGCTGTATCTTAAGCCCACTTCTGTTTATCTTCTTTATTAATGAGCTTGTAACTGAGATTTACAAAACGTGCTGTCATGGTGTGTTTGTTTCAGAAAGTATTGAAGATATTATGCTACTCCTTTTTGCCGACGATGTGACTATGTTCTCATATACAGTTATTGGTCACAAAGACAATTAGATATCTTAAGAACATTTTGCATTACCTGGGGCCTAAGTGTGAATCTTGATGAAACAAAAAAAATTGTATTCCGAAACGGTGGTATTATACGAAAAAATGAAAAATGGTTCTATGGTTCTATAAATGTCAAACTTGTCACTTACTACAAGTATCTTGGAGTATTTTTCTCCTCAAGGCTAATCTGGCCAATGGCCTGTAAAAGCCTAGCATCACAGGCTTCTAATGCCACTAGAGCCATTTATCATGCTTTCAAAAGAACTAGCTATATAACATTCGAAACAGCTTGTACAATGTTTGATTGTCAGATTGCTCCTTTATTACTTTATGGGGCTGAAATCTGGGGGGCAAAATTTATGAACGTATAGAAAAAGTACATATGTCCTATTTTAAAAACTATCTTTGTATCGGAAAATATGCCTCTAATAAAGCTATTCTTGGTGAAACTGGGCGATTAGATATGTTCGTGTTTGGCAAAATAACCGTACTAAAATACTGGTTGAGATTGCTACATATGAATCCATGTCGATATCCAAAACAATGATTTAAGATTAACATGCTACGAAAGTCAAAACATAAAAATGAAGACTTGAGTTTATATCTATGTACCCACTGTAAAGGGAGGCAATTAGAGGATGAATTTCATGTTTTGTTTTTATGTTCAAAATATTCTTCTGTCAGAAACCACTAATTGCCTTGGTTATCCAATGTCCATCATGATAATCACAGTTTATGTAATCTACTTAACTCCAAAAATATCGACATTGTAAAGGCTTTGGCCTTATACTTAAATCATGTATTCGATGTGAAAAAAGACTACTTGTATTTATTTTCCTGACATCACGTGACGCAGCAATTATTGTAATTGTAATTGAACTCTAGGCCCAAAATACTGAATAAAGAATCTTGAAATATACGGAAAATGGTAGATTGTATGGCTTGGCAGTGTCGGAATAGTCCAACGGATTTAATATAGTTGGGATCACAATTGAGATATCCTCTGACGTTGGAAACGGCTTTGGTGATTTCATTTGCTTGCGTCAGCATTTTCGAATGTGGTGGATAACGTGCAGGAATGCCCTGATCTTACTGATATTCGTTTCAAACCCACATTTAACCCAGGTCACTCACTCACTCACTTACAGGAAACCGGAGGCGTATCTATCAGAGGCGTTGGGGGTGCCTCCCTTGTAAGCTGATGCTGTCTCCCCCAGCCATACTGGCTTTCCTGGCGCAACAGCATGCACGGCGGCAATAGCGCTCTTTACCAGTCCTACAAGACTGTCAAGTGTTGCAGGATGTGAGAAATCAGAAACCTTCGAGGTTTCACCATTGACGTAATAGCTGGAAACCAATGACAAACGATTACAACACTACTACGACTACTACTACTACTACTACTTTACGACTACAACATAACTACTACTCCTATCAATAATTATTGATGGAATTGAGGAATTATTGACCATCTCGTGGAAAGTCATGATTGATGCTTAAGAGTAAGTGATGCTTCAGAGTTTGCGAGTTTGCCTATTTAGTGGTATATACTAGATGGAATTTGATAGAAAGTGAAAGGGAGAGTTTGTTCCTGTATGTTCCCTTACTTACTGATGGAAGCTCACGACATCAACCGCGCTTGCCCCACCATGAGACAAAAATCTGCAACACACAAATAATCAGAAACTCTGTATGGAGGCGTTACCACATCCCAGGTCTAACATGCTCGTAGCAATTACATTGGGATTGTGTTCTCCGGGTATATATTTGTATGCCTGCTGACAGATTAGTCGCTGGATACCGTTGGCATAGCAAGGGAGCATTGTGCCTATGTTGACTGTGTATTCTGTTTCCGGACACTTTCATGAATGTATTAAAATTACAAGACAAAATGCAGTCAACCAGCTTGAGACAAACACGGATCTGTCATTTAATACAGGAAAAGGAGACTACGAATTTTATTATAATAAGGATTCTGATTATTATTCAGTGACACCATATGGATTGTCAGACAAAGGTAAAAACTTCACGTTTCACCCCATCTTCCTAATGCAAGAGAGTTAATTGACTTTAAAAGCCTAGTTTCCACCCTTGCCGAACTACGCTGGAATTCCTGGGCTCGATCGCAGCGCCACCAGTGGCTATTACGAGTTATGTCCCTTCTGCCCCTCTCCTATGGACCAATCAGATTCCACCTCACGTATCACTTGCATTTGCTTCAAACAAAACGGGGGCGCCCAGTCAAGAGGATCTGATGGATAATCAAGATCTGTATATTGTGATAAAACGAGTCTTACATCGCGAATCGATCACATCACGTGAGCACCTTGATTAAAAACATGAAAATCTTTAGAAAATTTCTGTTGACAACGAGTTAGCGGTGCACATGTTTTGCAAATCCTGCAATCGGCCGTATTTACGAACCGTGTTTTGATTTCGGAGCACGGTTTTGATTGGACTATGCAGAGACTCGTTAGTCCAGCCAAAATGTAACTCCATAACACCAGCCAAGTTCGGCAAGGGTGGAAACTGGACTTTTATAGTCAGTTAACTCATTTGCCTCGGGAAGATGCTTTCACCCACGACGTGATATAACGTCTTCTGCCATGTAACCACCAGTGTAAAACTGAGACACTTACCCTTTTACCCCAGATGCATGAGTGACAGTCACATCTGGTCCTACGATGAGGCTGGACTTATACGACGTACCTTGGAGGACCCGCTTCAGCTGTGCAAAGTCATTGGCGAGTTGGGCGTCCGATAATGTGATGTTTGCGTTGTGATGAAACACATTTGGTTCTAGGCAAAACGCAGATACGTACAAGCTAACAGTGGAAGCAGATGGACGTCGTCTTACTCGCCCTGGTGCTTTGGGTTCTTGATTATAGCTTCATCCTATTGTTGCAGTAGAGTTCGACAACAAACCAAATTTTGTATTGCTGTTCCAACTATGTACTGTCGCATGTGGCCGTTAATATATGACCCTGCGTAGTTCTTCATTGTGTACAGTCATGTACAGTAACACTTTTTTTCATCAGTTTGTTATTGGGAGAAGGTTTACACGACCTTGTATAACAGTTCTCAGCATAAATATCATACAGAATGCATTGCCACTTATATACTAGTAATTCTATAGGCATTGTGAAGTGAATGTTTCTAAAGATTTATAGTTGTTCCTTTCTTATTTATTGTAGATTGTGGGGGCACGGGTAGCCAAGTCGTCTAAGGCGCCGCGATTCGCTGTGCAGAGTTGCGTCCCTTGGGCACGCCAGAAACCTATGATTGTGGGTTCGAATCCCGGTTCGCCCCGATTATGTTACTAGGTTTGTCAGCACCATACCCGTGCTCGTGGGTTTCACCGAAGTGGTAAACGTCTGAGACCTGCATCACTTCGGGCTTTCCTCCCACATTAAACTGACACGCTGCGATATAACTGGAATACTGTTAAAAGCGGCGTTAAACCCAACTCACTCACTCATTATTATAGATTGTAAGGATTTGGATTAAGCTGTGTCTGACCATTTTACTAACAATTGGTGAGTGAGTAAGTGTTTTGTTTGATATATTAAGGCCGCACTCTGCAATAATCCAGTCGGCTGTAAATAATCAAGTCTGGACCGAAAAACCAGTGATTGACTTCATGAGCATCGATCTACGCAATTAGGATACGCTGACATGCATCTACTAAGTCAGCGAGCCACACCACCCGATCCCGTTAGTCGCCAATTCTAAACCATATCTTCACGGGTCGAGTTTGTACGCCGATTTTAGCAATATTCCATCAATATCACGGCGGGCTTCACACGTTGTGACCATGTCGCGAATCGAACCCGGGACTTCGGCTTGACGAGCGACAACGTTTTAACCACTAGACTATCCCACCGTCCCTACTGGGAAATAGCACAACGTGTCAGGTGAGGTGAAATGGGGTTTAACGTCGCGTCCAAGATAGTTGCACTTATATAGCGACGTGCATGCACGTGTGTGTGTGTGTGTGTGTGTGTGTGTGTGTGTGTGTGTGTGTGTGTGTGTGTGTGTGGCTGCTTGTACTAGTCCGGACTGATGCCGATTTATAGTGCTAGCTCACTGAGATACAATGCCGCAGATTAACATGAATACCCCACTCAGACACAGTATACTGACTCCGAGCCGACCAGTCCTTGTTTTAGCCCCTTAATGCCGAGCGTCAGACAGGGTAACAACAAGTACCATCTTTTAACGTCTTTTGGTATGACGCGGTCGGGGATCGAATCCCGGACCTTCCGCTCTCCGGGCGGACGCTCTTCCACTAGACCACGGAGGCGGTCTCCCAACGTGACAGACATGCTGCTACTTCTGAAGACGTAACCTACCATTTCCCAGTTCGAATCCAGCAATATGGTAGCCTTTCTGTGACGAGTATTTAAGCAACAATTCAGCATTCGATGGGTCCCACTTTCCTTGCTTCCGCAGTAAAATATTAAGGTCGAATATAAGCTTCACCCCCGTGTTATGAACAAACTTGTTAAGAATATCCCAGTCTTCAGCTGCAAGATGAAGTACAAATATCTGAAGGGATCAATGCATAAAGCGAGGACACAAAAATGTCATCAAAATACTCCTTGACTTGACTTCCATTAATTGTACATTACATGCTCAGTACATAACCGGAACAGGTGACACAATGGCGCACGGTGATATCAAGTTTATTCTTCGCATTGAGACAGACTATTGTACCACAACTGTCTATGACTGGTTCTTATTTGTTGAGGTGAGGTGAGGTGAGGTGAGATGAAATTGGGTTTAACGTCGCGTCCAATATTATTGCACTTACATAGCGACGTGCATGCACGTGTGTGATGCTGATTTATAGTGCTAGCCCACTGAGATACCATGCCGCAGTTTAACGTGAATACCCGACTCAGACACAGTATACTGACTCCGAGCCGACCAGTCCTTGTTTTAGCCCCTTAATGCCGAGCGCCAGACCGGGTAACAACAAGTACCATCTTTGAACGTCTTTTGGTATGACGCGGCCAGGGATCGAACCCCGGACCTTCCGCTCTCCGGGCGGACGCTCTACCACTAGACCACGGAGGCGGTCTCTTATTTGTTGAAGAGTCAAATCATCCAAGTTTATTGTATTCAGGCAGTGTACCGATATGATTATCAGATGTTGTTGACAAAATTGCTATAACATCGTGTCAAATGCACATATTGAAATCTAACCGACTTATCTATGGCATTGACAGCGTTATATGTGTTTGAGTGTCATTGCAAGCGTGAGTTTGCACTGCAGTCTGGATCGGTGTCCCTTTCCACAAGGCATTCGTAGCTTTACGATCGTAACTATATAGTTTATCACAGTCTTACAAATGTCGTAGTGTTATTTCTTTAAAAAAATCACTTTGCATTTTTTGTCTTGACTATAAGTAATACTCCTTATTGGCTGAAGTTCTTGTTTCACGTTATAATTATTAGCACACATGCAGCTATCTTCGTCAACTACTCATTGCGATATTTCGTGATTCTATGTTCAGTGGCGAGGACAATAAGGTATTTTACTACAGAGGAAGGACACAGGTAACAGAAATCGTCATGTCTCCTTCAATGATTAAGTATATTGTTAATGATACGAATAGTTATTTAAATCTTATAAACTACTAGGTCAAGCTATTAAATATGCCATCTTCAAGATACCCTAGAAAATGTTATAATATGATGCTTCTCTACGATAGCAATGGGAAGCAAAATCGGGCAACAAAAGTCAAAAACATGTTATACGAAAGTGGATATGGTTATATTTGGTTACAGCAACATATAGATATGCCACAGCATTTCTTCCACCGTTTGACACAGACCTTAAAATATATGTACATCCCAAAATGGCATGGTTCTTTGTCCAGTTCTAGAAAAGCAAATTACTACACTACATTTAAGACTACTATTATACTAGAACCTTATCTATTAAGTGTAAATTTCTCTTTCTCGATTTCGTTTTGGCCCACATGATCTATTTATTGAAACAGGCAGATATGAAGGTATTACAAGAGAACATAGACTTTGTAGGATTTGTAAAACTGATTGTATTGAAGATGAATATCACTTTTTATATGTATGTCCAGTGTATAAAGATTTACGAGCAAAATATCTAAATAACTATTTCTACCGTAACCCAATCGGTAACAATTGCAAATTTTGTAAATTAATGACTTGTGATTGTACAGAAACTATTAGAAATGTATCAATGTTCATTTATCATGCTATGAAACTAAGAAAATGTATGAATTTGTAACACGCCCCAGACAATGTACTATAGGCCTTTGGCCTCATAAGTACCATGAATAAAGATTGATTGATACGAATCTTCTTACTCATTTCTTCAGGAACTTTTGAGGCCGACAATTCTTAAACAGCTACAGGTTACTCACCCAATAGTTTGAACGGCGATGCTGCGTTGGAGCTATGCTGTGTGGCATGGGGATCAAACACGACATGGTCAGCCGAGGTTCCCCCGACCCTCAGATATGAGGGAACGAGTTCTTTCACAAGCTTCTGGAGATTTGGTGAACTGTACAATGATACAGATGTAAATTATATCAGACGTGTTTGCTGAGAGGTAAAATATACAGTCACCTAATCTTATAGTGTTTCATACCTGTGATGGGATCGAGTGGGTCAGACATGCTGATTTGATTGATACATGTAATTGTATCCACACTGTGCAGTCCGATGCTCATGATGTCAATCACTGGCTGTGTTATGGGTCAACGCATTCGTTCTTTATGCGTGTGTGTGTGTGTGTAGGGAGGGGGGGGGGGGGGGGGGGGGAGGGGGGGAGGTGTAGAATAGTGGTTAAAGCGTACCATCGCGCCGAAGACCCAGGTTCGATTCTCCACATGGGTTCAATGTGTGAAGCCCTGATATTTCTGTAATATTGCTGAAAGCGACGTAAAACCATACTCACTCTGCTATCATGCTTGGTACTGTTTCGAAGGTCTGCCAATGATGACTTTTGTATAAAGCGTTCATAGTATAACGTGCATGTGGCTCGAAGCACCCCTCACTCAGTGATGTTGATAAAGCAATCTTAAAAACAGTTTATTATACAGATTTCTGATGATATGTTTAGAGGCCATGTTCGTCCCAATTCGCTGTACATAGTTGCCTCCCTTGGGTGCGCCATAAACTTGGATTCCAGGTGGGATCGGCTGTGATAATTTAATTCGTGTTCGTTTCTTTCTGGGGGATAGGGTGGCCCAGTCGTCTGAGGCGCCGCGATTCGCTATGCAGAGTTGCGTCCCTTGGGTACGCCAGAAACCCCAATGATTGTGGGTTCGAATCCTGGTTCGCCCCGATTATGTGTCTAGGTTTGTCAGCACCATACCTGTGCTCGTGGGTTGCACCAAAGTGGTAAACGTCTGAGACCTGCATCACTTCGGGATTTCCTCCTAACATTTAACCGACACGCCGTTGTGTGACTGAAATACGGTTAAATGCGGCGTAAAATCAAACATACACTTTCACACATGATACATGTATTTATCTTATCAACCATGACCTTGGTCTCAACGACTGCCATGATCAACGATGCAAATAGCTTTACAACAGCAAAGCAGATTGATTTTGGAAACAGAACCTATGCTTGTAAGTGAAAGTCACGTAGGATCAGCTATTTATAACGCGGGTCATATCAAACCTGAGATGGTGTCTTTCAAACCCTGCCCGCAAGATATAGCTGTCGATGGTCACCCCAACAAACATGTCGTCGACCTCATGCACAACGCTGTCAGTAGAAACTGTCACATGTACTTGGTGTTGCTGCGATGCGGTGAACGTTGGTATCCATAGCAACACGAGGAACCGAATCGGACCTAGCACCTGTACCATATTTAGAGTTATGAGCTTGACCTGCTACGGCTATGGCGCTGACTGTCTGGGACTGGCTGTAGTGTGCCTAGATAATAAACTTATCATGAAAATAAAAAAGTAGGACTGTATTCGCTAATTCGCCAATCTTAACTATCTATAAATATGTCAAGATCGTTGTATTTCTTGCGATAATTGGCCTCTAAATGATTGTTCGTGATGATGTTAAGAGAATACATGATCCGCGACAATGTTGTTGTCATTGAGTGATTCATCTGATATGACATTAACTGCCTGATGGACGACTTCAAGTGACATTTTGTATCAGATTGAACGGGACGTGTTTTTTTCCCTGGACCGTCAGTTGTTATTTTTGTTGTGGCACAAAAAACGCCAGTAAGTAAAATGGTAAATAAAATCATTCAGATCTTATTATTAATAAAATGGTAACAATAAACATAAATAATCATAAAGCTTATGTTCAATAAGCAAAGAAGAGCCAGGAGAAAAACTGTCAAAATATATTTGTAAGAGTAAAAGCCCGTCCTTTCATAGCGACATCTTCGGAATCTGACTATATGTATACATGTATAATGAACGATTGAATCTTTGTTACTTGCTCCAGTCACGCCGGGGAGTCGCACAGACATGCAAAACATATATATATATATATATATATATATATATATATATATATATATATATATATATATATATATATATATATATATATATATATATATCAGTAATTTAATTTATTTGAATGATTTGCACGCAGTCATAGGTTTAAGTGTATAAATACATGTAGTTGAAATATGAAAATTAATAATGTATAAACAAAGACGATGAGACAGTTCAGGTACATGTACAGGATTCTAAGGTGCCACTGCTCTTGTAACAATTGCCACAACGTAAGCCCCTTTCGAATGGTAGGTTCCCGATAATGTCCGCCTGACATGGTCGTCAGCTTAGTACAATACAGTCACAGTCTTCTATTCGCATGTGTGTGTGTGTGTGTGTTGTGTGTGTGTGTGTTGTGTGTGTGTGTGTTGTGTTGTGTGTGTGTTGTGTGTGTGTGTTGTGTGTGTGTGTTGTGTGTGTGTGTGTGTGTGTGTGTGTGTGTGTGTGTGTGTGTGTGTGTGTGTGTGTGTGTGTGTGTGTGTGTGTGTGTGTGTGTGTGTGTGTGTGTGTGTGTGTGTGTAGTGTAGTGTGTGTGTAGTGTGTAGTGTGTGTGTAGTGTGTGTGTGTGTGTGTGTGTGTCGGGGGGGGGGGGGGGGGGGGGGCACGGGTGGCACAATCGTCTAAGGCGCCGCGATTCGCTGTGCAGAGTTGCGTCCCTTGGGCACGCCAGACACCTATGATTATGGGTTCCAGTCCCGGTTCACCCCGATTATGTTTCTAGGTTTGTCAGCACCATACCCGTGTTCGTAGGTTTTACCGATGTCGTAAACATTAACGGCTCTCATATGTTTCAAAGAAGACAAACATGTCCCGTTATAAGACAATACAGACGAAATTAACATACATGTACCATGTACTTTGCCGAGCGCCAGACACAGTGACAACAAGTACCATAATTCAATATATTTTGGCACGACGATGCCTGGAGATCATATCAAATCATCTGCCCCCACGTAACTGTTCCTGGGTAATATTTCCTGACTCATCATTCTGATGAACAGAGATTGATCAAACAGCACTTCTACAAACACTGACATCGGCTTGAGGAAATACAATCAACCACCATGCGGTGGTTGGGGTTAGTGTGCCTGCCGTTACACTGCTGTGTAACCCGCATGCGGGGCGAGAGTTAGTCTGCCTGCCGTTTCACTGCTGTGTAACCGTCACGCGGGGCGAGGGTTAGTGTGCCTGCCGTAACACTGCTGAGTAACCCGCATGCGGGGCGAGGGTTAGTGTGCCTGCCGTAACACTGCTGTGTAACCCGCATGCGGGGCGAGGGTTAATGTGCCTGTCGTTACACTGCTGTGTAACCCGCATGCGGTGCGAGGATTGGTGTGCCAGCCGTTACACTGCTGTGTAACCCGCGTGCGGGGTGAGGGTTAGTCTGCCTGCCGTAACACTGCTGTGTAACCCGCGTGCGGGGTGAGGGTTAGTCTGCCTGCCGTTACACTGCTGTGTAACCCGCATGCGGGGCGAGGGTTAGTGTGCCTGCCGTTACACTGCTGTGTAACCCGCATGCGGGGCGAGGATTGGTCTGCCTGCCGTTACACTGCTGTGTAACCCGCATGCGGGGCGAGGGTTAGTGTGCCTGCCGTTACACTGCTGTGTAACCCGCATGCGGGGCGAGGATTGGTCTGCCTGCCGTTACACTGCTGTGTAAACCGCATGCGGGGCGAGGGTTAATGTGCCTGTCGTTACACTGCTGTGTAACCCGCGTGCGGGGCGAGGATTGATCTGCCTGCCGTTACACTGCTGTGTAACCCGCATGCGGGGCGAGGATTGGTCTGCCTGCCGTTACACTGCTGTGTAAACCGCATGCGGGGCGAGGGTTAATGTGCCTGTCGTTACACTGCTGTGTAACCCGCGTGCGGGGCGAGGATTGGTCTGCCTGCCGTTACACTGCTGTGTAAACCGCATGCGGGGCGAGGGTTAATGTGCCTGTCGTTACACTGCTGTGTAACCCGCGTGCTGGGCGAGAGTTAATGTGCTTGTCGTTACACTGCTGTGTAACCCGCGTGCGGTGCGAGAGTTAATGTGCCTGTCGTTACACTGCTGTGTAACCCGCGTGCAGGGCGAGAGTTAGTGTGCCTGTCGTTACACTGCTGTGTAATCAGCGTGCGGGGTGAGGGTTAGTGTGCCTGCCGATACACTGCTGTGTAACCGTCACGCGGGGCGAGGATTAGTGTGCCTGCCGATACACTGCTGTGTAACCGTCTCGCGGGGCGAGGATTAGTGTGCCTGCCGATACACTGCTGTGTAACCGTCACGCGGGGCGAGGGTTAGTGTGCCTGCCGATACACTGCTGTGTAACCGTCACGCTGGGCGAGGGTTAGTGTGCCTGCCTTTACACTTCTGTGTAACGTATTGTGTTGCCGCATGTACCAACAATAATGGCTTTCCAAAGGTGTAACAATGTGACCATGTAAATGAGAGAATCGGTATACATAGTTCCAAGCTCATGTCTGTTATTTTGTATGTGTTGTAACATACTCTTCCTATGAACAGTAGTAAGAAAGCCATACATACGACTGTTGCTCAAAAGGTGTTTGATCAAAGTTATGATATTCAACTCCATTAATGTTCAGTATTAGGTTTCTGTTCCTTCATTGGTAAAATATGCCAATCCTATCATCGCTGTTCCGTGATTTCGTATTGCTGGAATTTACACGTGGCAAGTCATCTACCTACCTTTCTACACACCTCTCTACCTACCTACCTGCCTACAGACCTACAGACATATCTACATACAGACCTATCAACCAGCTAACTAATTAAAGTTTACGCGTACCTTCAAACATGTGAAACTGTGTCGTTTTCAATTTATTATTTAGCTATTGATTTTGTAAGAAATGACACAATATACACATACAATGGTTTCACTTACAAATCCTCGCGTCAGGTTAAGTCCACTTACAACAAAACCAAGAACACTGGAGTAGAGTGTCACACCCACATATTTATCATGAACTTTGTTGACGGCAGCCTGTGTGTTGATGTAGATGTCAGCATCTGCACCATGAAGGACAGTGCATAAGAAGATTGAGTATACAAGATGGCGGAGCATTGTCATCACGGACTTCCACGGTTACGCCCTAGTCTCAAGCACAGAGAAACAGCGCTTTCAGCAAATACCATTTACAACTTACGATAACAGAAAAATTGTTGACCTATTTCGATAGTCAACTTCACACGTTCTGTCGACAAAGCAGAAATCCATGTCAAGAAAACCAGACACAACAAGGTCGACACACGTATGTTATACAACTGCTATTAACAACTGTTATACAACACGTATGTTATACAACTGCCAGCAATCTATTAGCCACTCCTGTGTGTTTGGAACTCATGTACTAAATTTACAATATGTTCTCAGATAAATTCATGCATGTATGTTATAATCAGTCTTTCACTGGTAATTTTGTAAACCTTTTAGTAAAACGACTGTCCTTAAGGTAAATAGAACTCCTGTCATAATAAACTGAGATCGTACGATCAAGGTCTCAAACCTGGCTGACCACCTGGTGAACTTTGTGTGTGTCACAATAAAATCTATCTTGCAACCACCGTCATACTATATGTATGGTTACAGGAATTATGAAGAGCGTCAATGTATGACGTCATGATATCAGTACAGGCTAACCAGCCGTCTTTTAAGGGTCCTGAATGACAGAGACTGGCCATTCAGACAGCTACATGTACATTATATGAGGCGTAATGGCAATGCCGTGTATAGGACAAAAAAGTTGTCTCAGGACGGCACGTAAAATGATAGATACTGCAGCATTTGACAATGTCTAAGCTGAATACTCATCTTGTGTATTGCTCACTTTAAAAAACACTGATGTAATATTGTTGCTGTTGTCTGTTCTTTAACACCGTCCTCAGCAGCAATATTAAAGACCGATAACTGAAGGCATCAACATGCCTTTACTCCGAAGCTGTCTATTAAAGTGGGAATAACCAGCCCACATTGCTATCAGTAATTGAGATTAGAACACAGAGTTACATAAACCATCACTAATATATAGTGTGTGTTATGTCTAAATATTATATATTATTCTTGACCTTTAAAAGAGATAATTAATGACAGATTTGACATAAAATTGCAGTCCATTAATGATGGTGCACATTAATGTCCACACGCGCATCTGTACAATCTATTTGCTAAACCAATTCATGCATAAAATGTAATGACATTTTCCCTTACATGTCTCTTTGTGCACCGTTGTTGCTCGAAGTATGCTTAGAACAAATGAACTAGAACTAAAACTTGCAATTTGCTCTTCATTGTAAAGAACGACAAACGACACATTAATGCATGTTCATGTTGTTTGGTTTGTTGTTTAACGCCGCACTCAGCAATATTCCAACTATA